GAGTACTTAATAGCCTTCTGACGAATTAATTAAAACCAGATAGTTTCGGCGAGACTATAATTATAAAGACCTTCCCACATTACTGAAACCTACATATAAAACTCCTTCAGAATAATAGGGTAGAAATAGGGTTATTAATTAGTTTGGGATGGTGGGAATGGGAGTTTGGGTTAGATATAGGTGTTACTATTTACGTTCCTGGTTTTCATTACTGAGATCACCTTTGGTGCCAAAATGCTAATTAGTCATCCGGATAAATTAAGCCTGCGTCAAAGCTTGGAACCCGCTGTCTGATATCTGATCTGGTTGTCTAAAAGTTATAACCTCATTAATGATTCCTTTACTCTCTCAGTTGATTATTACGGTATGGTTCCAGGTCTTTAGCGTTGTGATGGCTGTTTGTTGGTAACCTTAAGAAGCATCAGCTCTAGAAAATTCAGTTTAGAAAGCTAACCCACAAATTATCAGGCAACTTACAGATTCGGTACGAAGACCGTGTTGTACGTAAACACTCAACTAACGAATTTGTTTTGAATCATTGTCTTCTGTTGCTATTCAGCGTTCTTGTTAGAAACTTCCGCACTGTTCCCCTCCGCAACGTGGGTTAAACGTATGCATCTAGGTAACCAATCAATTTAAGGTACCGCCTCGTATAAATTTGCGCATAATTAAGAGTGTAGTTTTAATCCGATTGTATGTTATGATTAGCCAATTGAAGAATAGCTATATTTGGTTACTAGAATGCTACGACGCAATATGGCAGTAAACACGGCATGATACGTAAGCTAAATCACAAGGAACACTTACCGATGCAAATTGTTTATTAAAGTATTTGATTCGAATCATTGTAACCAGATAGCATTTCTCTCAACTTAATTCCTGTCTCTAAATTCGTCCCGATTTTTTATAAGTTTGCGAACAAATGGGCTGAGAAGCATCATTGCATTATAGCTTATGTCAGTTCTGGATGTGGACCTTTATCCTAATCCGTAATCTTGACATACAACCCTAACATCCAACCCAAACCCTTATACATCATAGCTGATGTTAAATGATGACATGGTTATAACCCTGATTCGAAACACTTCTTAGACTTCTAGTGTGTAAATTCAACCTTTTTCTTCTTCTATAATGAATAACTTAACATGTGAAGAGTAATCTATCATTCCAAAACCACTATTCCACTTATTCTATTGCTTTTTACCGTTAATCGTCTTATAACTCGGCGGCGTTTTCCGAGTGGCTGGTTAGTCGCTAAGGGTCGTCGTATAGTCCACTCTTACCTAACTTGATATTCACTCGTTCCAGCGAGTCCGCTCCTTTAGGACAAAGGCTTTCCCTATTACTCAAGATATACCGACCTGTAAATAAATCTATTCGCCTGGATCAGTGCGGTGAAGTCTTAAGACTACCCACATCGAATAATGAAAGACATGGAACTGTAACTAAACATCAAGACGTAAGTGCCAATAAATTAATTGGTTTGGATTAGGTCGCCAAAACGATAAGTTGGTTACAGTGTGTTTATCGCATTTGGGGCTTAGGCCCGAATTCACAAGTAACGCGTACAGGGATAACCGGATTTGCGAGACAATTTTACACATTTTGTTACTTTGGCTATCACTGGTAAGATTATGATCCTTCCGGTGTAAATAACTTTCATTTACCACCCTTGGTAGGAAGTAGACGAAACAGTCGCCCACACCATTGACTTTCTACTAACATTTTAACTAGTCTCAGCACAATGTGCGAAAAATTAACAGCTACTGTTAGACATTGCTACCAGTGCATGAAAGAAATCTGTACAGGACTGACTTCTGTTGCCTTTCACAACTCAGGTTGGGGCCCCGGACAAGATACGACTCAGCGGTTTGGGACATTATCCGACGCTGTTCGGAATAGAAGCCAGTGGGGGTCCTTACACGATCATTTTTTACTTTGCAAAAGTGAGAGGAACTATGAATGAAAGAAAAACCAGACGAAGACGCCACAGAGTCCTCTGATCAACTCACAGTAAACATGCTTTTCAGGGCAACAGATGAAGATCGAACTTGTAGTATTTCACTAGTCTTGGATAGACAACAGACATCTATGTTGAGACTTTCTAAGGATATAGTCAACCCTATCTGTTGTCCGATCTGCATTAGTGTGGGAAAGTTGAGGGAGGCCAGTTCGAATGGCATACGTGGTTTCAGAAAGGCTGGTTCGGAATTCTTAGTGATAGCATTCAACTTTCGACCGGTCAGTGACTTGGAATCGTTTAAATAAAGCAAGATTTCCACATAGGTGACCTGCTTTGAGTTGCAAAATAAAGCAACGGACAAGTGACTCAATGTAAAGTAAAAATGAGTATTAACAAGTAGTCTTGAGTATGACTTGCGAAATTGAGAATTAAAGCGCGAATGGTTTTCCTGATTGTGGTCAGAAGACTGCATTGTGTCAGCATCAAACAGAACTATATTATCGAGGTATTCCAAGTCAACAAGTGAATCTCTCGATAGGAAAACTCCTGAAAAGGTAAGCAATCAAAGTGTTACTTCTAATAACATGTCAATGACAAGTTGGATAAAAATAGAAGAAGCAGATGACCCTGATAGTTCTTCACAAGCTCTGACTCAACTAGAAATGTTCGAGAAGAGAGCCTGTATGATGTCAATGTACTTCTTTGGGATGTCTTTCAATGATAGACACCGCCACAGAACCTCACGATCTTCGTAGTTGAACTCCGTATTAAGGTCAAGAAATATAACTATAATCGGATATCGAAAAGTATGTCTGTTTCAGAACCTGGTGAAGGGTGAATACTCGGTCTATACATAATCGTTTACGTCTGAAACCAGCCTGGTTTTCTCGGGTTTGCTCCTCACGAGCTCTAATTAGGCGTCGAAGTATTAACGAGGCTAATATTTTAGACATCTTAGTTAAACAGATTCCTCTGTGACTGTCACAAACGATTTTTGTCCCTTCTTATAAACTGAGATGATCAGCGATCGAGACCAGTCAGATGAGATTTCATGCAGTTCTCAGGTTCTAGCTAAGATTTCAGTTAACTTAACCGGTAAAGCTGGACTAACATCCCTAAAGATCTGAGGACTTAATCCATCAGGCTCTGATGCTCTCTTGGGTCGGATCATCTACAGCCTTTACAATTTCACCACGAGTTGAAAAACATATTAATTTTCCATTGATATTGCTTTGTAATAGTGTGTAACCGACATGTGACTGTAGGCCGCTAAGGCATTCTGCTGATTGTTCCGACCTCCTGAATTGAAAGTGAATAGCAGTATAATTATTTTCCAGGATAGTCTCACTAACAGTCAGATTTTTGATGCCCGTTTGCATGATAAACCTTAACAGTTAACTATTTTAACCTATCACCGCTGCCTACCATCTCTACTGCCTTCGCTACTGACCGCTCCCCACGATCATTGAGTAGGTTTTTTGTCACCCTAAGTCTAAGCTGCCTCTGTTTCTCATCGTGTTCGAAGCCGGACGAGGTGATTTACCGAGCGTATATTGGTTTAGTAGATCCCGCCAAAATCCACTGATTTTTCCTAACCTTTAGGTTTAAGTTACGAGTCAGTCAGTCAGTAACAACGTAGAACTTCGTACGTACGTACGTACATCAGTTCGAGTTGCCACACCACATTAGCACAGAGAAAGTTACGAGACTAGTAGAGATTGTTATAGATGCAAAAGAAGTGAAGTTAGATAAATCAATGCCGCATTTTGAGCCACTTGACGTAAGGTTCAAACATAAAGCGATGCAGCACGTCGTTTAGAGCGCTTATTTAAGAGACTGAAAGTAACATTTTTTGTACTCGCATAGTTAGCATTAGTGGCGCATGAGGATTGAGTCATTAGAGAGGAGGGAAGGTGGTGAGAAGCTTATGATGTGTTAGCTCTGTACTCCAAAAGATCTTGCATTCGGAGTCGAAGAGTTGTGTAATAAGGTAAGCTTGGTCTTTTTAGGACCGACCTTTCCCAAGCCATTCATTTCGTTGTGAGAAGGCAGCATCACTCTAAGTGCTGGTTGTCTAAAGGAAACAACTTACTATCGTCACACCTCAGCACAGTCGGCAGCACGACCTCTTCGAACCATAGGTTTGCCGCTTTTAGACTTACTGTTCCCCAACCAACCTACTTGATGCGGTAGGACCTAAAGAAGTAACTGTTCCACACAATATAGCTCGATTGGGTCACTACGATAGGCAAGCCTCACTACAACGTCAATATAGTGGCTACAGTGGGTTGTTCATTGAAGAACAATACATATATAGATTTCATTCAGTTTATAGGTTTATTTTAAGGTTTATGAACAATAACAGTTGTTTATGGCTGATTTGAAGTCCCAACTTAAACTGGTCCTATGTCGTATATGTGTTGACGATGTACAATCTCAAACCACAACCTATAAGAAATAAATCAATATCAACTAGATCGGAATTGTGTTACAGCAAATTATTTAGTGTGAACATCATACATGGAATTTCAATACCTTTACAATGGTTTGTGTCAATGACAAATACTTTAAATATTCTATTCATTTTTTCTTGGCATGCAACTAGTTCAAGATCAAAAACTTCATCTGTAGAACTTGTATTTTTGCTTAGTGGGGAGGAGAAAGAAGAGGATTAAAGTCATTTTGTTCACGTATTGAAGTTGGAGTCCCGAATTATTAGCACAGTACACAAACGCATCAACGTTCTTGCTTATTTAAATTTTTTACAAGTGTTCTGAACTCCATGGAGAGTCAAGAGCGGCCAACTTAACCAAATTAAAAGCCTCTAGATCGAATGATAACTTATTATTTCAACTCTTCGAAAAAGTTGACTAGATGTTTGTAAAATGGATGACGCTGTCGTAACACTGTAAAACAGCCCGGTCCATCCAATTTATTAAATTATTACTGTCGTATGGTAGTTGCTTTTGCTACCGGTGAATAATGAATCCTTTTAAAAATTGCGAACTTTTGTGTAAATTTTTGTTTAAGATTGGTCATGTCAGTTGAGTTACCTGAAGCTAAAGCTGATACTCTCCAAGAAGTCTTCTCAGACAAGTTCCAGTATATCAATCTAGATCATTATAATATTTATCATTTCGAGGAAATTTTGATTGATGGTCGACGATATCAATTCCGATTATCTTCAAAAGGTGATTTAATGACAGTGGTCACTCATATAGCTGGAAGAGCTGTTCTTTTGGTATCTGTATGGACAAATATGGATTATGAGAAACGTTTACGTGAAATCCATCAGCACATTTTAGAAATGGAACGTACTGGGACTATTCCTATCGATTTTCGAGGTATTACTGATTTTAATTTTTCACATTACAAAATATATGGAGTCGATTATTTTTAATGAATTCGTTTCCAATCGTTCCTGGTATTCTCATTATTAAATGTTAAACATTATTTACATTTATCAGGTAGTCAAGCTATTGTTTCTGTCACCTGATGTATCGTCTCTCAGTTTACTATTTATTGAATTTACCGAGTCTCATGCGTCAACTCTCACACTCTTTTCACTACCGATTTGAATCGTGAATAAAAGTAAACCCAACACTTGTATGTTCCAATCTGACTCATTTGAAAACATGTTCTGAATTAGAATTCTCATTTTCCACAAACGGTATTTGAAAATCGTTCATATGAATTGGAATTAGTGTATAAATAATGTAATTGTTCTTTAATTTACACAACATACCTACTTAATAACCGAACTAAGGTCACGAAAATTTGGGTTATGCTAATCGTATACCGTTCAGAATACTCTCCATTTGTGACAGTATACTTATCCCATATTCGTCTAAATTGTTGAAAACATCTCTGAAGCAACTTAAAAGCCATACATTTCTGTTACATCGTCTTTCACACTTTATTGTTCGTATCATACTATTGTTGCTCTCACATAACCATTTTGAATTTCGTGGATCAAAAGAAATCACACGGAACTCAGTCTAGCTAGTAATAAAGATTATCTGACGTGATGAATTGAATCAATTATTGGACAGCAACTCACGAACAATCACTTACGAATGTGCAGGTGCATTGTTGTAATTGAATAGTCAGTCAGTAACAACGTAGAACTTCGTACGTACGTACATCAGTTCGAGTTGTCATACCATATTAGCACACAGATACAATTGTCTATTCAAATCCCGTAGTGGTAGAGGTAATAAGAGTATAAGCAGTAATCGGGAAGAATTCAGAAGATTAGAATTTGGGAGAACACAGAGAGTGAATGCACCTGTGCCATTGCAAACCATTTTGATCCATGTCATTCAGGCTCTCTAACCATCGGTTGCTTTCATCTCGCGGTCCCCAACTAGGTAGACTACACCTACCGTCATGACTCAGTCCACTTGTGCTATGTTTTGGTCTGGCCGCCCCTAGCTTTCTTCCATCCTACTCCTATACCACTGGACATCGCACGTCGAGGCAGTCTGTCGTTGGGCATACGTAACACGTGTCCCAGCCATCTCAACTGATGAAGTTTCACTACGTCATCAATTGATTTGCCATCCTTACCTAGTACCCGTTTCCTAACAACTGCATTACTTACTCGATGGTCCCAGTATATACGAGCAATATTTCGAAGACACCAATGATGAAATACTAGTAACCTACGAATATCCTCTACTCTTAACGGCCATGTTTCACTGCCATAAAGTAGGACGGAACGAACTGCTGCGCAGTAAACACGTCTTTTGGTTGGTTGACGGATATCTCGCCTACGCCATAAATGACGCAGGTTGACGAAAGCTAGTCGAGCCTTCTGTATCCGTGCTGAGATTTCGTCACACACCAAACCACAAGGGCTGATGAGACTTCCAAGATAAGTGAAGCGGTCGACACACTCAACTACTTCACTCCCTATCACTAGTTCGGGTGTCGATGTAACCCAATCCTGAAGCAACATTTTGCATTTCGAGGGAGAGAATCGCATCCCGAACATGCTTGCATTGTTGCTTAGAGTGGTCAGAAGACTGCATTTTGTCAGCGTCTTCACCAAATAAAACTATGTCATCAGCATATTCTAAGTCAACAAGTGAACATCCCGGTAGAAGTTCAACCCCTGTAAATTTCGATGAGGAGAGTGTTATTTCTAAAAGTACGTCGATCACAAAGTTGAACAAGAATGGAGAGAGTGGACAGCCCTGACGAACAACACTTGAGGTCATCAATTCTGATGACAGTTCGCCATAAGCTCTCACTCTACCAGTTGTGTTCGAGTAGAGAGCCTTTACAAGGTTAATGTACTTCTTTGGTACTCCTTTCAGTGACAAACACTGCCATAAAACCCCATGATCAACAGAGTCGAATGCTGCCTTAGGGTCGAGAAATACTACCATTGTGGGGCGTCTGAACGTGTATCTGTGTTCTAGAACTTGACGTAGTGTGAATATCTGATCTATACAACCACGTCCAGGTCGAAAACCAGCCTGATTTTCTCTAGTCTGCTCTTCACGAGCTTCGGTTAGGCGTCGAAGTATTATTGAGGCTAATATTTTAGACACTATATTAGTCAAACTGATTCCTCTGTGATTGTAACAAGAGGACTTTTGTCCTTTCTTATAGACTGGCACAATCAGTGATCGAGACCAGCCAGATGGGATTACGTTCAGTTCCCAAATTCTACCTAAGACCTCGGTTAATCTCATTGCTAATACTGGACCACCATCCTTAAAAATCTCAGGAGCAAACCTGAGACGCATGATAGTGGTACATGTGGGGGTCGCCATGTTAAAAGATGTTTTTCCTTATGCTTAAAGTTAGTATTTGCAAGGAACAGGCGGTTATCTGAGCATAGCTGCAACAGACGGTCGCCATTATCTGTTCTTTGAGCCACGACACCATAAGATCCACCTAGGTGTCTTTCCCTATCGCTTAGTTTACCTACTTGAGCATTAAAGTCACCGGCCACTATTACTACATCCGAGCGCTTAGCTTTTCGGAGAAGGTCCGAAAGCTTTCTGTAAAACTCATCTTTTACATCATCTGAGCTGCAGTCAGTGGGAGAATAGGCAGAGACGACGAAGAGGCAACGACGAGTGTCCCTATCTTTCCGGATTCTTACTGTTCCGTTCAGTCGGACAGCGCACAAACGACTGTCTACTGGGATCCACTCTAAGAGAGCTAGTTCTGCCCTAGGACTCAATGCTATACCTACGCCGGCGAGGCCACGGGAAGCAGAATCAGGGCTTCCAGATACACGAAGCGTAAATCGAGTCGGTTCTTTATTTTGGCATGGTGAGGTCAAATGAATGACGCTACTTGGATCCTGTATGCGCGTTTCGGAGACGCAGCACACATCGATGGCGCGAGATTCTAAAGTTTTAGCTAAGGAAGCCTGCTGTCCTATTTGGCAAAGTGTTCGTACGTTAAAAGCTCCTACGTGTAGTTTAGAGCGTGGTTTCAGGAGACCAGGAATGGCGTTCCACGTACTCGAATCGTTTGCCCTAGCGGTGCGAGGTGATAAAGAGACGTGAGGAGGGTTAGTCATGGAGATAAGAGAGGTATTAGGAGGTGTAGGAAGGATTTGAATGTGACCACCTTGGTCTCTTGTGCTGTTACGGGTATGAGGGCTGATGTCACTTCCCGGCTGCCCACACCGTGGAAGGGTATTTCTTGAGGAACCTGAAAAGGAAATTGGATTAGTGTTGGTCTTGACGACCTGGGAGCGTGACCGCAGAGCCCAAGGGACAACTGCTTGAGGCCGGTCGCGCACGGCCTTTTTGTGGAAGGTTTTTGACGTGTTAGCTCCGTTCTTCAAAGGGCCTTACCGCCGGAGACGGAAATCCGTGAGGTAAGGTGAGGTGTGACATTTTTAGGGTCGACCTTTTCTAACCCCACCCCTCCTTGTGGGAAGGCAGCATCGCTGTCATGCTGGTTGTCCGAGGGAAACACCTTACTGCTGTCACACCTCTCTACAGTCAGCAGTACGACTTCGCCCTCAGACCTTGAGTTGCTGCTTTTAGTCTTACCGTTCACCAATCGACCTGCCTGGCATGGTAGAACCTACAGGAACATATGTTCCAGCCAATATAGCTCGGTTGGGTCATCACGATAGGCAAGCCCGACCACCTCGTCAAAGTAGCAGCTTCGGTCGGGAATTGAATAGTCATCTATCAGCATCGCTCAAATCCTATCTAACTTGAAGGTGTTGAGAATTTTTACATAAGGACAACATTTTCGGACGAGTGTGTTTACAGATATCGAAATAAATTTTATAGTAGTTTCACTTTATTTAGTATTGTACGTACTTGGCATATTATGTTCGATGGATTTCAGTCAGGACTTGGATTTAAGTAACCATATGTCTGATTCAACCATTACTCCACTGAGCTGTCATATAATAGGAAATGATTACTAACCATGTGTTTTAATGAGATCTATCTCAGTAACCAATTACAAGTTGGTATATTCAACTTAAAGCCATACTTTTATGTAAGGTCTAATGATACCTGCTATTTGAGTGTCTAAATTAGAGCTGGATCAGCTTTTAAACCAATCACTTCAATAATAATTAAAATATACTGTTATTAGTCATTTACCGACTGTAAACAGAAAAACATTGATAAAGATATTTTTTTGTAAATAAATTGGTCGTTTTGACACAAATTATTATTTTGATATTTTATCTAATAAGACATACACGAACGGAAAAATGATCGATTTTCGAAAATTAGTGTATATTTTCATTACCCCCCAAGTACTCTGGTACGGGCGAAAGTGTGGAGAGTCAGCTCTCCCTCTCGAAATACTCCCACATGGCCACTTGCATACAAGTACTGTCAGGGAAGTCCTACTCACTGCCTTCTCGTGGTGGGGGTGTTGTTTACGAAATTGGGAAGACAAAAATCTACTGACCAGAGCTTTAACCGGGTTGTTGGACACAGAGAGTCCACCTAGGGGAGTTGGAAAACCCTGACTCAAAACCAATGGTGCACATAGACTCCAGGAACCTAAGGAAACAAATAGCGCATGAACCAATCGTTGGTCACCGGCTACCATGGGACTGCATCTCCTGACGTTGCTCCACTGCCTTATGGGTCATAGTTTAGGTCGAAGGCTCTAGGTGTGGCTGCCTAAGGAAACCACCTGCTTCGGTTTGTCACCTGAGCAGTATCTCAGCTCTCACACGAATCGAATGATTTATGTGGAGCATACCTATTTGGTGCCTCCTTGTACCAATATTTATGTGTTTAAATTAATAATAAATCATTAGATATCATTATTTGTCAACTAACCTAGTTCACAAATTCACAATGGAAAATCATAAATGGATCTGAAATATAAGTATATACGCTACACATTTCAATGTGAACGAATTCAAAGCACACGTTTGTAAGGAAGGGATACAAAAAATGACACAGGTTTAGTAAATAATATAATTAGTGAGTACCGTATTTTTTGATCACATATACAAATAGCAGTTTGATTAAATTCACCTTTCGTTATAGACCCAGGAAAATTGAAAGGTCTTCGTGAGAAAATATTCAGATAGATCTAGTCAACCAAACCTATTGATCCGTTACATTTGATGAGGTAATTTTTATGATTCTGTTAACTAGTAGACTGATCAACAACTAGATGAACACAAAAATTTTCACTTAAAAATAATCTGAGACTTAATTTTTTATTGTATTCCGATTCAAATTAATAGTGTAGCTTATTAATACCTTTGAAAAAGTATATGTCCGAGTTTTTTGAATACGTAATGTAGATTACTTCATAGGTATTTTTCTTCTCAAATGTCAGATAGTTCATTCTTAACATGTTTCAAGAATTACATAGTTGTGATGTAAGTAGGTCATTTAAAATCACATAAAGTATCATAAGTTGGTTAGTTCAATCTCTTGTTATTGTATAATAGGTTGGATTCGCTGTGACTAATTTATTGTTTAAATTAATTGAACATATTCATTCGAATAGTTGGTGGATTATCAAAATATATACTACTTAATTTATGGTTGTGTATACGTATACATTTGAGTAAAATATATGAAGGTGAAGAAAACATAACTTTCTCCTATATTATTTTTGTCTCTAGTTTTATAAATTAAGAAGGTACGTATTATTTAAATTCACTTGGTATTATTTATTTGAATCTTCCCATCACTGTTTAGGACTGCAATTTGCATATGTGCATACTGTGCGTATTGCCTCGATATTGCCTTAATTCACAAGTATTATAAGCAAAGATGGCGTTTGGAGCGAACGGTACTGTATTCGAGTCCCCGAGTGAACATCAACTCTGGGATGCAAGTACATCCAGCTGACGAGTCCCAGATAAGACGAAACGTGCGTCCTGGATTCCACTGCTAGCCACTATCCATCTTTGCTTATAATGTACGCATTATTAGTTGTTTCAATACTTTTTAGTATGGATATGGTACACTTTTCTCTTCATTATGAGCATTCAGATTGCATATGTAGTTTACTTATAGGGTGTATAGTGTAATGTGACACCATATATCCCAACTCAATATCCATAATTTTACGTAAGATATATGATGCTATCTTTTCACAATAGGATAGTATGCTGTGTTGAAAAAATCACAGTATGTAGTTTAAGTTTGAAATTTTCTTAAATTTTTCAACTTTTCAAAGTTGTTGATAAATCCCAATCTCATGATGATGCATTTATCTCACTGTTCATCTTGGTAAAAAAAAATTTCCCATGAAATCAATGTTGATATACGTCGAAAATTTCGTCCTGGTCAGTTAAATAATCGGTTAATATTTTAAACGTGATTTCCTATGGACAACAAAATAGATTCAGCTGGAAAAAAAGTGGATTGATTTCAAAACGTTCACATGTTCCAGGTGTTACAGTTTCCTGCATTAACGGTTGTCATTGCCTCATATAGAACAGGTCGCTTGTATCTAAAAAAATAAGTAGATTTCCGGTAACTGGTCAAGTGTTGGTTTCACTGTTGTCTATCAGTATCTAGATATTGACAGATGTATCATCAATAATAACACTATCACTGAAACTTTAAGATTTGTAAGTTGTTCTGTAAATAGGGTCAAGTGTTTGTGTTATGATCATGGACATTCAATTCACATAAACACGCTTCCCATACACTTACCCAACAAGCTATGCAAGTGAGGAGACTGAAATGACTAGGATGATTTACTCGACAAAAACTGAATAAACTTGTTCGAAAGCTATTGGTATTAATGCATGTGTCCTTCTAACTCAGATAAGAATATCCAGGGTAAGACTTTGACTAGAAGCACAATCACTGTCCCTTAATAGCGTGTCTCGCTTATGACTTCTCACGTACCTCTTAGCTTTGAGACATAAGGAAGTAATATGTCTAGACCCACTCACCCAGCCTGATAGCGCGCTGTCAAGGATTCTTAGATAAATAGTTGAAACTTTCACCCAACTCTCACATGCTTACATAAAATCGTCAGGTGATATTATTATTCTTAAACAAATTTACTCGTGAACTAATTCATTTTTCTGAAATAGTTTATTCTTTCGACTAGCAACCGCTAGTTCTCAAGTTTGAATCTCACTCCATTTACCTTTGTATAACTAAACTGTAACTCCGCCATTTACATATATTTGTATACTTACCAAGTGGATTATAAAGAAATATTTTATTTCATCAGTGAGTAGCGATTCGCATTACCTGTGTTTGTACGTCATATATATCTCATGAAAATGCAATCGGACGGTTATCTTATATTCATATTTGTTTACCTCCTTTTAGGTATGCTTGGTCGAGGAGGTGGAGGAAATGAACAAACAGTATCATGATTCTTAACTTGTCTCTCTCTCTCCCTCTCTATGTATATTCAATGTACTTAAACTGTGTCGTGCACTTTTTTCTTTTAAATTATATTTCCTTGTCTTGTACATATGTATATTTCGAGAAATACGACCTTTCGTTATAAAAATGTTATTTTTCTTTTATACCTTATGTAATATGATTGCATAGTTACTTATTTTTAGTGAGATTGTCTCAGATTAATTTCCTTTATCTTGCCCCATATCGTACGTTGTGGCATTTCTTCATACATACACACAAATAGTTTTTCATCCTGTCTATTCGAGATATCCGTCTATCAATTAAGGGACGAGTATACTGCACAGCAGTTCTTTCTGTTCTACTTCACGGCTGCAAAACGTGGCCATTAAGAGCAGAAGATACGCGTAAACTACTAATATTTGATCACAGATGTCTTAGAAATATTGCTCGCATCTGCTGGGATCACCGGGCAAGTAATATTGAGGTTGGACTCAGGTTATTAGAGAATGATGGTGAATCAGTTGACGAGGTTGTGAATCTTCATCGACTGAGATGGTTGGGTCACGTGTTGTGCATGCTTGCCTGAACACCGATTACCACGACGCGCAATGCTGATTAGTGTTGGCGATTGTTGGAAGAATGTTAGGGGTGGCCAAACTACAACGTGGTATCATTCCAAGAAGTCACTAACTTGTGGTGTGAGCCATGTGGACGGTAGATGCAGACTACTTTGTTGGAGTCCGTGTGACTATCATAACCAATGGTTGGAGACTCTGTGTGTGTGTGTGTGTGTGTGTGTGACATGGCTGAGAATCGATTACAATGGTGTCGGTGTATACACTCTCTGTCTTCCCTTAAACTATGAGATGAAAATTGCTTCATATCTTTCTCTTTTAAATTACCATCATTGAATTAATTACTTCTATGAATCTGGTGTTCATCTTGTTGTGCTAATGAGTGGGGCGTGGCAACTTGAACCGATGCATATATGTTCCTGGTCCTACGTTATAGCTGACTACTGAATATTGAGCGAAAACCAGAAGGATCACGATGTCGATTATTTGACTGAATACTCAGCAAACGAATAATCTCAAATTGAAGTATGAGTCAACTAATTTGAATAAAATGTATAGAATTTTCAAAACAATCGACACATTAATCTGTAGATACGGTTTAGTTTTGATATAAAGGGGATCTTATTCAATATAATCACTAAAGCATTTCAAAGTGCATCAGCTGTCTTGTAGTTTGTTTTAATTCTGTTTTGTTTTGGTTTTTTGGAGTTCTTAGGAATAACTTTTCGATGATAGCAAAAGTATCGTCAACATATTTGGGCCAAATTCCTCGTGTAATATCATAGGCAAAATATTTGACATGAACAGGTAAGCTACAATCAAGGACAAAACTATTGTAATTACAATAGTAGTCATGAACATAAAAAATTATGACACAACCTTTAAGCATCTATTCGCAGGACTCAATGATAAATGCCTAGGCTTTATCAGTGGTTTACCATGGATTGATACCTTAGTTCTACCATACCGCCATAGTACAACTGAAGAACCTCAAAGAATCTCAAATAACATGGAATTATAGCATACTACAAAACAACTGATACTTTTTGAGATGCTTTGTTTCGTATAAAGGATATGATTCTTTTTATGACACGTAACTGTGGCTACAGATTCGAGTATGTTGATTATGTTGCTTTCTATGTTGGAGTTTCATCTGGTGAAATCCTAACTGATGTTAAAGAACATCAAAGCTGCACAAATAAATCATCTGATAATCCTGTAGAACCTAAAAGGTTCCAAATTAGATCAGCAATAAAAGTGAAGGGCATCTTCAATAACCATCAATCGATACTAAAAATATCAAGATAATACAAAAAAGCTTTCGCAACTACAAAGAAAGGCGAATAGCTAAACCTTTCCTTATATTGCTAAATCCTACTCCCATTAATAGAATTAAAGCCATTACTATCCATTTGACTTGAATCATCTATCCGAGCTATGTCTGATGCTATTCACATCACACCATTATCATACCAATCCAAGCCTACCATTTCACATTACAAATGTCAAATTTTCCACTCATTAACGCACACACAAACATGTCTCATTTAAGCTACTTTGACTGGAATGGCATGGTATTGACTGGGTCAGACCTGTTTTTTTTTTGATTGATTTTACCAAGTACTTTTGCCTTGTGCTGTCTAAACGTGTATTAATTTGGTTTCCTAGGAAGCGGCTTACACTGAGTCACGAAACGTCAGGAAATTTAGTTTTTATGCCTAGTGGTATGTTACAAATATGATATTTTTACTATTTTCAACCAGTAGGTTCCAGACTCGAGCCTACTTACTTCAGTAGTATCACAACCTTATACGGAAAAAGTGACTGGAAGTCAAATTATTCTCATTGACTAGCGGCAAATTGTGAATCGAAGATTTACCCTTAGCTAGTATCTTATTGAGCCAAAAATCCCTAAAGTCTTAGGTGGCTTTAACTGAAACTGTGCAATTCTAGTACTAAGTTTACGTAACTAAAGTTATGGCTGAAACTTATTAAATGCTAAAAAGCCTATCGGGTATAGTAATGACACAATAACTACTACCCTATACATTTTAAAGAGCATATAACTCACTAGAATAACATCCAAGGAAACCTCACTATGGATATAGATTCGTTCATAAAATAGTAAAATGCCTTTTTGTGTGTGATCCTTAAAGTGATTAACACATCCATCAGAGTTTAGCAAATTAAGTCTTATTCATAATGAAATCGTTGACTAACAAAAGGTCCGATACATTTTTTCGCTTTGGCTTTTAGTACTCTCGACTTTTACCAAAATACCTCTTTAATTTTAGGGTTAATTTAGCTGAAACTTGAATCTGATAATACGACAGATTCAAACAAGTTTTCATTGGGTCATCCAATTTTTGACCTACCTCCTATTTCCTTTATCCTGATATTCTCTCAAGAAACCCAAACCCCTTTCATCTACCAATATTCAAAAAGATAATATTCATACCATTAAGGGTACAACTCACGACAAGACAGAATTTACAGACTATTTTATAGCATATTATTACTAAACCATTGCAGTTTTCGTGTGGGTTATTATTCTGGGTTTTGTATTTAAAGGTTTTGTAGTGAACGAGAACACAAGTGGGGACCATTGAATGTATTTAAACACAAAATTACAGAATTTCTTAATAAAATCCGAGAACCATATAGTAAATACTTAATTTGCAAAATGTCGATCAATTGTCTCAAACCTGACTGTCCCTTTTGCAAATATCAGACAGCCGTCTCAGACTTGTTAGGTGGGAATCTTACGGATCCAGGATCATCAAAGCACCCTTCAAAACAAAGAAGGAAGGAATTACAATGAATATTACTCAATGTTATGCATCCACCACTAATAGCAATGATGACGATAATGATCAGTTCTACGAGAGGTTGCAAGCGATCACAGAGAAGTGCCCAGGAAAAAACCTGACCACCCTGATGGGAGATCTTAACTCCAAAGTCTGAATGGACAACAACAGAAATGAAGATATCATGGAACGATAAAGACTGGTTGAGAGGAACGAAAATGGGAAGAGATTTGCAAACCTATGTGCATTCAACTAATTTGTTATAGGCAGCACAATGTTCCCACACAAACGCATATACAAAGCTACATGGGTATCACCGGACCGCACCACGGAGAAACAGATAGATCATATTTGTATTGATAAAAAATTCACAAGGTCAACGGGAGACGTGAAAACCAGGAGAGAAGTTGACATAGCTTTAGGTCACCATCACTAGGTGGTGACCAAGATGAAACTGAAGCAAAGAAATACTGAACAGTTGTGGAAACAGCATTACAGAGGTTCAATACAGCCTTCCTACGAGATACAAACTCAACGAATTCAAGATAACTGTCAACAACAGGTTCCAAGCCTTACAGGATCTTAAAGGAAAAGAAACTGCTGTGGAGGACAAGTAGAGAGGGGTCAAAGAGAAATCATAATAAAGAACGAATCTTCATCGAAACACTAGACAAGATTCTAGAAAGGAAGGAGATGAATACAGCAATTAAGGACAATAGAACAAGAACAGAGAAAGTCAAGGCACAAGCTGAATACACAGAAGCAAACAAACAAGTGAAAAGGAGCATTAGAGCTGACAAACAGAAATACGTGAAAGATCTAACGACAGTGGAAATAGCTAAAAGAGAAGGAAATATGAGACAACTATATGACACGACGAAGAAACTGGCAGGGAAATTTAGTAAACTAGAGAGACCGATAAAGAAGGCAAGCCAATCAGCGAAGTTCAAGGACAGGGGGACAGGTGGATGGAGAGAAGCATTATCAAGGAGTATGGAGGATCGGATGCAAACGTCAAGACGAGGATTGGCAAAGCAAGGGCAGCATCCCTATAGTCAAAGAACTATTGGAACCCAAAACAACTGTCAATCGATATCGAAGTTTATTTATTTATTTATTTATTTAAACACATAAATATTGGTACAAGGAGGCACCAAATAGGTATGCTCCACATAAATCATTCGATTCGTGTGAGAGCTGAGATACTGCTCAGGTGACAAACCGAAGCAGGTGGTTTCCTTAGGCAGCCACACTAGAGCCTTCGACCTAAACTATGACCCATAAGGCAGTGGAGCAACGTCAGGAGATGCAGTCCCATGGTAGCCGGTGACCAACGATTGGTTCATGCGCTATTTGTTTCCTTAGGTTCCTGGAGTCTATGTGCACCATTGGTTTTGAGTCAGGGTTTTCCAACTCCCCTAGGTGGACTCTCTGTGTCCAACAACCCGGTTAAAGCTCTGGTCAGTAGATTTTTGTCTTCCCAATTTCGTAAACAACACCCCCACCACGAGAAGGCAGTGAGTAGGACTTCCCTGACAGTACTTGTATGCAAGTGGCCATGTGGGAGTATTTCGAGAGGGAGAGCTGACTCTCCACACTTTCGCCCGTACCAGAGTACTTGGGGGGTAATGAAAATATACACTAATTTTCGAAAATCGATCATTTTTCCGTTCGTGTATGTCTTATTAGATAAAATATCAAAATAATAATTTGTGTCAAAACGACCAATTTATTTACAAAAAAATATCTTTATCAATGTTTTTCTGTTTACAGTCGGTAAATGACTAATAACAGTATATTTTAATTATTATTGAAGTGATTGGTTTAAAAGCTGATCCAGCTCTAATTTAGACACTCAAATAGCAGGTATCATTAGACCTTACATAAAAGTATGGCTTTAAGTTGAATATACCAACTTGTAATTGGTTACTGAGATAGATCTCATTAAAACACATGGTTAGTAATCATTTCCTATTATATGACAGCTCAGTGGAGTAATGGTTGAATCAGACATATGGTTACTTAAATCCAAGTCCTGACTGAAATCCATCGAACATAATATGCCAAGTACGTACAATACTAAATAAAGTGAAACTACTATAAAATTTATTTCGATATCTGTAAACACACTCGTCCGAAAATGTTGTCCTTATGTAAAAATTCTCAACACCTTCAAGTTAGATAGGATTTGAGCGATGCTGATAGATGACTATTCAATTACAACAATGCACCTGCACATTCGTAAGTGATTGTTCGTGAGTTGCTGTCCAATAATTGATTCAATTCATCACGTCAGATAATCTTTATTACTAGCTAGACTGAGTTCTGTGTGATTTCTTTTGATCCACGAAATTCAAAATGGTCATGTGAGAGCAACAATAGTATGATACGGACAATAAATTGTGAAAGACGATGTAACAGAAATGTATGGCTTTTAACAGCGATTACCACTCGCGCAATGCTGATTAGTGTTGGCGATTGTTGGAAGAATGTTAGGGGTGGCCAAACTACAACGTGGTATCATTCCAAGAAGTCACTAACTTGTGGTGTGAGCCATGTGGACGGTAGATGCAGACTACTTTGTTGGAGTCCGTGTGACTATCATAACCAATGGTTGGAGACTCTGTGTGTGTGTGTGTGTGACATGGCTGAGAATCGATTACAATGGTGTCGGTGTATACACTCTCTGTCTTCCCTTAAACTATGAGATTAAAATTGCTTCATATCTTTCTCTTTTAAATTACCATCATTGAATTAATTACTTCTATGAATCTGGTGTTCATCTTGTTGTGCTAATGAGTGGGGCGTGGCAACTTGAACCGATGCATATATGTTCCTGGTCCTACGTTATAGCTGACTACTGAATATTGAGCGAAAACCAGAAGGATCACGATGTCGATTATTTGACTGAATACTCAGCAAACGAATAATCTCAAATTGAAGTATGAGTCAACTAATTTGATTAAAATATTCAGAATTATACTTTAAATCTTTTCGGTTTGATCTATTTATATGATGATTCACTTAATTCAATGTGTATTCATATCTATTACAGGTAGGTAAATTTATACCAAGTAGTTGGTTGTTAACTTATGCAAATCTTAATCAGCATTAATTACGACTAATAATAATGAGACAGTTACGTGTATATGGTAAAGGAATGTTAATATATCGTTCATATTATTGGACTGATGTTTACAATAAAGCTATAGCGGTAAGTCAGTTGAATATATTTATTTGAATCGAATAGAGAAGTTTCAGATTTTGTTTGAAGATACCTTGATATCTTTAATTGACGAATCTGACAATTTCTTGATGAAGTCAAGTTGGCGAGACTATAATTTATGGATGAACCTATCAGATTTAGGAGAACATGTCTTAGATTTGGGCGCGAAATTCATTCACCCATTCAGTTAAATAGAGTTTTGGCATTATAGCTGATGTCAGTTCGTAATGAAAAACCTTAAATGTAATTCCTAACCCTAGCCATCAACTGTAAATCATCATCCTTATTCTTCAGACTGCTTTATAACTCTTATTTAACCCTAGTAAGTAGGTAGACGCTCTCAAGGTCACTTTAGCATCTCTCAAAGGTCGTCCATAAATTATAGTCTCACCTTCAAGTTTTATACATTTATTTAAGTACATAATTATTTGTACAGATCGCCACAAAAACAAATATGAACTACACAAATAAGAACATAAAACTGTTAAGTCAAGCACTGATATGTTTTCTATCGAAAGGCCCAATACTGTCTTCGTATCTGGTTCCCATAATCCAAACTACTTCTACACACCAATTAAAAGAATGAAGAGAAGGCGCGAACTGTAAGTAAAAGCTGTAATCCATGATTATTTCATATGCAGAAAAATGGGGATGTTTCTAGACTTATACTCGACTGGAACTTCTAGAAATTTCAGAAGCTATACTCAATATAGTAACAGTATAGATAAATCTTCAATTATAACCGTGGCACGTCATTCTTTATTTCTCTGGTCGCATAACACATTTCTTGGCGCTTCTGGGCCTTTAATTAAAGACCTTTTAGGAGATCCGAACAACCACACAGTTCACATTAAACGGACTATGATTGTTCTCTGTACGCTTAGCATCAAGTTTTGGGGTTATAACTATAAATACGATATGATATGATTTTAAAATCACATTATGAAAAAAAGTTTCGGAAACTGTTATGCTATAATCCATTTGTGTATTGTTTGTTTGAATTTTCCTATTGATGTTTAGGACTGCAACCGATCAGTCTCTTATTGGCATATGCACATCTTGTGAGGATTGCCTTAAATCTCAAGCATTTTAAGAAAAGATGGATGTTGGCTAGCAATGAAATCCAGGACGCACCCTACTTCGTTTCATCTGAGATTCATCATTTCGATGTACCTGCATCCCAGAGCTGATGTCCATTCCAGGCTATCTGAAATCAATAGCTAAGTGGATAACGTGATGGAATATGGCTTGTGAAGCCAACGGTACCGGGTTCGAGGTCAGGGGTGAACATCATTTGTTGGATGCAGGTAAATTCAGCTAACGAGTCCTAAGTTGGACAAAGTGACGCTCATCCTGAATTCCACCGCTGGTCACCACCTATATTTGCTGGTAACCGTTACGTTAGTTTCTAATAATAGAATTCGTTAATCTTAATTTATATCAATACTCAATGGATTGAAGTCATAGCGTCAGTGTAATAACTCGGTATTAATCAAAGTTAGAAGATCTTTTGGGATATTTTAGTTATTCGATATTACATGCAAAACATGCAGTAAATGATCAGATATTCACCAATACATTAATAATTCTGAATGATAATAACAATAGTTATTATTATCAGAAGGGTTTTATTTCGTCGTGGATGCGCACTGCTGAGGAGTCCCATACTAGGAAGAAACGGCCGCCTGGTGCTTCCAGGTTTTCCATGGTGGTCTAGCTTCAATTGACTCATGACCTCAACTATTAAACTTATTATAATATCCACAAAAACCTCTTCTGATATGAATTAACATATGCTCAATACTAACTGGCTTCAAGAGGTATACTCTGGAGTTCTAGTGAGAAGTAGTGACTAGTGGAGTTCAACTGAGTCTGTTATGAGATATTAACCCACTGAAGACAATGGTGAATGTGTCGCTCAATCTGCTGTGATTTCTACTAGGCTTCCATTCTTATGTTAATTGTCTGAAGAGTTACAGACACTGAGTTATCAATGCGAATGTTTACCGACAGATAATGGCACGAAAACTGATACTACTATTGAACTTGTACATTATTTACTTGGGATATTTGTCTGTGAAAATGATTTATGCCTGAAATCGAACACATCATGTGAGTGAAAACTCTTCCAAAATGAGGAGTATATATAATGTACCACGTTAAATTCAGCGGTACTTGAAATTAATAGGAGCTGTACAGACTCGAACTCTGATTCCATTAGCTTCAGCCTCCATGAACTAGTTTAATGAACCTTAGGAATTGTATCCACGGCTATGGTAGACGTCTTCACGAACTGGAGTTCAGTATTCATCTATATTGTAAGAATAAATACTGAATAATAGCAATTCGACGAAACTCCAGAAAAAAAGCTTTATAAAATTATTTAATTTATTTCCTTCTCTATGGATTATTTCGATTTCCTATGGCTACTTTCCGACTACATCTACAACTATTGATCAACAAATTTCCATAAATCACTTGATTAAGCAAAGTTCCCGAATGTCAGTTCGACATATTTTAAATTCAGTTTCTTTTCTTATTAATACTACTTAGGTGCTAAATACTACATAGATCCTAAAACTGGTTATACAGTTTTTACTGAAATTGAACATTTAACTCGTGGTTATTGTTGTCATTCAAAATGCCGCCATGTAAGTAATCATAATTATCAATGAATATCAACATTATGTTAATTAAATTTTATTTTATTAAAGTGATTTGTCATTAGTCAAGTATTGAAGATGGAAGTATCCAGCTACTGAAAATAGAAGAGATTATTTCATGTTATAAACTTCACTCCACTTTAATTCCATTTACTAACTGTTTTGTACTTATGTCAATAAAATCTTGATCTAGTCTAATTGGATTCTTAATATAGGAAGGCCAGATACTTGAATGACTGTGTATATCTTGTGATTAAGTGTGGTGATCAAGTATCGTGAACATTTTAATTCTTATCCTATTACAACATGAGGGGACAATTAAAAGTCGCTGTATCTAAGTTTATAGGACTCTTTTGTGCAGTATATTCAATGATATTCAGGGCTGAATATTGATCAGTCTTTATTAATAATAATGCTTAACATGAAGTATGTTGCCTAAACAGTTAGGAATGAGAAGGTTACATCAAGATCATGGCGCGTGTATCAATCTAGCTTGACGTTCACCTAGAATTAACAAAGAATAATTTTGACGGTTAGTCATGTAGTGATGGATTTAAATAAAGAGAACATTGTCAGGTATTTACAAAAATGTAGAACTCTCATTTATGATTATGGAAATGTGTGTGCGGAAAAATTAATAGGTTGGTACTCCGTTCTAAATTCTGTTGGATACGAAAGTTCATAAGAATGGGATTTTCGTTTGGGCAGTCTAAGTCAATTATAAGTCAAATAGTGTTGCCAGTAATGTATTAAATATCTGGAATACAAATAATCTCTGCTGCGGCAATGACTAACCTGTCAGATATATCTTTAGTATAGTGATGTGAATACTGCTAAGAAGCTTGTTCACACCTATAGATCACATATTTTAATACCCATAGTCAGTCAATCAGCTACAACGTAGGACCAGAAACATATATGCATCGGTTCAAGTTGCCACACCCCACTCATTAGCACAACAAGATGAACACCAGATTCATAGAAGTAATTAATTCAATGATGGTAATTTAAAAGAGAAAGATATGAAGCAATTTTAATCTCATAGTTTAAGGGAAGACAGAGAGTGTATACACCGACACCATTGTAATCGATTCTCAGCCATGTCACACACACACACACACAGAGTCTCCAACCATTGGTTATGATAGTCACACGGACTCCAACAAAGTAGTCTGCATCTACCGTCCACATGGCTCACACCACAAGTTAGTGACTTCTCGGAATGATACCACGTTGTAGTTTGGCCACCCCTAACATTCTTCCAACAATCGCCAACACTAATCAGCATTGCGCGTCGTGGTAATCGGTGTTCAGGCAAGCATGCACAACACGTGACCCAACCATCTCAGTCGATGAAGATTCACAACCTCGTCAACTGATTTACCATCACTCTCTAATAACCTGAGTCCAACCTCAATATTACTTGCCCGGTGATCCCAGCAGATGCGAGCAATATTTCTGAGAAATCTGTGATCAAATACTAGTAGTCATACATACCTTGTTCTATCTTAGATCAACTAATTCATTCTTTCTCCTTGAAATATACTATCTAGCCATACTGTTTTCTACGAACACTAATATTGTTGCTACTTTTATTATTCTGGTATTAGTGGGCACAGAGCGTCCACCTAGGGGAGTTGGAAAAACATGATTCCAAACCAGTGGTGTACATGAGCTCCATGATCCTAAGGAAACAAATGGCGTATGAACCAATCGTTGGTCACCAGCTACCATGGGACCGCATCTCCTGACGTTGCTCCACTGCCTTGTGGATTAGACCTTTGGGTCCAAGGCTCTAAGTGCGGCTATCTAAGAAAATCTTTTTCTTCGGTTTGAGCACCCAGGCAGTATCCCAGTCCACATACAAATCAAGTGACCTGTTTGGCGCATATGTATTCAGTGCCCCTTTGTATCAATATCCATGTGTTCAAGTAAATATATAATTACTATCAACGATATCGTTACTACTATTTTTTTTTATTCCGGCTTTCATTTTCTTAATTTTATCTTTCTCTGCTGATAAGGTTTGTCAACTTGAGCCAATACACATATATCTCAAGTTTTACATTGCTTATAACTAACTGATCGGTATATATATACATCTCAATCAGTTAGTCATATATTTATACATTTATCAAATTGTGCTGTGAATTAAAAATTCATTTCATTTTTGTTTGTTTGTTTCAGTGTCCTTATCACCATAGCAATAACTCGAATAATCTACCTAAGGATAAAAATAATAATTCATATTCAATGTTCAATGAATCGATTATCAATACTTGTATTAATTAAACTCATTTTCTTTTAGTGCTGTACTTATTTATTTAAATATTTCACTTAACAAAATAGAGCTTGTTTAAAATTAAAAAGAAATAATTTAGTTATGTTTATCAATTAATGTTACGTAACAATTTATAAGAACTGTTAACAAAGGGAAAAGCAAGATTCTCCGATACAACACAACACGCACCAATCGAATCACACTTGACGATAAATCTTTGGAAGAAGTAAAGACCGTTACATATCTGGTCAGCATCATTGATGAACACAGTGGAACCGATACAGATGTGAAGGCGCGAATCGGCAAAGCAAGAGCAGCATATCTACAACTGAAGAACACCTCGAACTCAAAACAACTGTCTGTCAACCAACACCAAAGTCAGACGTTTCAATACGAATGTGAAGACTGTTCTGCTGTATTGGACGGAAACTTGGAGAACTACGAATGCCATCATCCAGATGATACAAGTGTTCAATAATAGTTGTCTACGCAAAATACTTCCAATCCGTTGGCCAGACATTATCAGCAACAACCTACTGTGGGGGAGAACAAACCAGATTCCAGTGGAAGAAGAAATCAAGAAGAAGCACTGCAAGTGGATAGGGCACACACTAAGGAAAGTACCCAACTACGTCACAAGGCAAGCCCTCACTCGGAATCGTCAAGGCCAAAGAAGGAGAGGAAGACCAAAGAACACATTACGCTGAGAAATGGAGACAGACATGAGAAGAATGCACAACAATTGGATGGAAGTAGAAAGGAAGGCCCAGGACAGAGTGGGTGGAGAATGCTGGTGGGCGGCCTATTCTCTATTGGTAGTAACAAACGTAAGTAAGTAAGTGATAATGACTTTTGAACTGAGGAGGAAACACGATTATTTGCTTTGTAAAATAATCATCCTTGGGTATTTAGTTCATCGGACATTCATGGAGGATGAGAAATTATATTATTTAGATATTTAATAATTGTAACTGAGTTACATACAAGTTATTGCGATAAATTTTTTGGGGTCAAATTTACAATAGTTCTTATTTTCTTCAATAGTATTTACTGGGATGTTACTTGATTGAGCAAACTAAGCCAGGATGGGTCTTAGGGGACCACCACCAAAGGGCGGTGGAGAGACATCAGGAGATGGAGTCTCATGATTTTCGGTGACCAGAATGGGTTTTTATACCGTTCATTCGCTTAGTATCCTGAAACTCGTGTACAACGGTTGTTTGAAAACAAGATGTCACAATCCAGTTAGGCAAATTCTTCGTATCTACTGGCCTGATTCGAACCGCGAACATCCATTTTTCATCATCACATCCCTAACCCATTGCGTAATGGACAGATGGGTACTGATTTTAAATAGCACATCTAGAATCCAGGTATATCCAAATGACGACTTCTAAATAGGCCGATAAATGAGTCTCGGATCCCACTTATAGTTACTGTAGTAAGCCCATTCAACTACTGTATTATATATCTGCTCACTGTAATTTAGACACTTAATCCACTATGTAAATTTCTGTGTGAGTATGATTGAGCACATGTCTGCACATCAGTTTTCAATCTATTCTCCATTGGTTGTAATACACAGACAATCAATAATTTATCCATACTTGATTGACACTCAAAAATATATATGGATTTTTAACGCACACACTCTTGGTTTCACAGTGTGCTTGCTTCCTATACGTTTGCGGATTTTACCAATCTTTAACAATAAACTATCTCTGTAACTGGTGTTCAGGCTTTTGAATAATCTCGAGTAAATCCATAATCCTACTAGGAGATTCAGCCTGCATTAAATACTCACTTAACGGGATACTATTTATTGGAGTCAGATGTAGAAGAAATTAGCGTATACATTACCACCTAGAATGTCATCAAACATGCGAAAATCAAATTTTAACTATGAAACATTCAGAGAAAAGATGTAGATTTAATTCTACCAATAAATCATTATTGGATTTCCATTGAAACACCTACCTTCAGTCAGTCAGCTACAACGTAGGACCAGGAACATATGTGCATCGGTCCAAGTTGCCATACCTCATTAATTAGCATAACAAGATGAACACCGGATTAATAGAAGTAGTTAATTCAGTGGTGGTAATATATAACGAAAGATTGTATATAAAGATATAGTACAGGAAGGAAGAATCAGTTCGTAGAAAGAAAGATATGAAGCGATTTTAATCTCATAGTTTAAGGGAAGACAGAGAGTGTATACACCGACACCATTGTAATCGATTCTCAGCCATGTCACACACACACACACACAGAGTCTCCAACCATTGGTTATGATAGTCACACGGATTCCAACAAAGTAGTCTGCATCTACCATCCACATGGCTCAGACCAGCAGTTATTGACTTCTTTGATTGATACCACGTTTTGGTTTGTCCGCCCCTATCTAACTCTAGACTGTTTACTTAATCCGCCGACCGCCTTATGAGCCTTAGCATTTGTTTAAATTTCGACTTCCTTTTCAGTCACCCAGTATTTTTCCCATTCCTCAAATATAATTCAGATGCATATATACGTGTTTTAAAATCATTACTGGTAATGCATATCATATAATTGTATATAAAGGGTTTTTAAACTACTTCCTTGAAAACTTCACAGACGATATAGTTTCAGTTAAAGTTGGAGCTGGTTTCCAATCATCTAATTCACGTAATTCTTTACGTATTAATGTTAAATCTTGATTGAATTCCCGCTCAGTTGATTGTTCTCTTTACAGTCCAAGAAAGAGAATTCAAAAATAAAGAAATATTCATATGAGAATTAATTCATTATGATCATACTTTTATATACACTCAGTTACATGGTTGTAAATGGTATATGAAACGTCATACTATTCTACATAAAAATAAAGGAATCGATGGACATGAACTGTTGTGTATGCTAGTTATGCTGGTAGATATAAGTAGTATGTACCATTAATCGGATGTTGAATGCCTAGCAGCAGAAGATATGCGAATGATGTATTCAATGTGGGATTTTCATATTTTAATAAGTCTACTATATGATTTTGCACTCAAAAGTGTGGTTGTTTTTCCCCAACTGAGCTCTCATTCACTACGCTACTGGTTTTCTTAAATCACCAGTGTCATATAATTAAAAGACCGGAGTCAGATAAGGCTGATTACTCTCCCCCTCCCTATTTCTTTTGCTGGTTGACTGAACTATGAAGACTTCGACATCTGAGACAAAACACGGAATACAATGGACAGCTCAGAAACAAATAGACGATTTGGACTTCGCAGATGAACTAGCCCTCCTATCTTATACGCACGAACAAATGCAGATGAAGACAACTAGTGTAGCAGCAGTCTCTGCATCAGTAGACCTCAACATACACAAAAGAAAAAGCAAGATCCTCAAATACAAAACGGGAAACACCAATCCAATCACACTTGATGGCGAAACTCTGAATAATGTGGAATCTTTCACATATCTGAGAAGCATCATCGATGAACGTGGATGATCTGATGCAGACATGAAGGTGATGATTGGCGAAGCAAGCGCAACATTCCCACTATCGAAGAACATGTGGAACTCAAAACAACTGTCAATCAATATCAAAGTGACAATCTTCAGCACGAAATTCATGACAGTTCAACTTGGAGAACTACCACAACCATCATCAAATTGGTACAAGTATTTATAAACAATAGTCCACAGAAGATACTCAATGTCCATCGATCGGATACTATTAGGTACAGCCTACTGTGGGTGAGAATAAAACCAACTTCTGGCTGAAGAGGAAATGAGGAAAAGACTCTGGATTTGGATAGGACATACATTACGGAAATCATCAGACTGCATCACGAGGCAAGCGCTAACTTGGAGTTGTGGAGGGAAATGGAGGAGAGGAAGGCCAAGAACACACTGTGTCGGGAATGGGAAGTAGACATGGAAAGAATGAATAGTAACTGGAAACAACTGAAAAGTATTGTCCAGGACAGAGTTGGATGGAGAATTCTGGTGAGCGGCTTGTGCTCCTCCACAACGTGTAACAGGCGTAAGTAAGTCATATAATTAAACTAACGTTATTTCTAAACGTTAGAAATAAATAAGTACAAAAGTAGGGTGCATTCAAGTGCATCAACTTACATTGGACTAACTGGAAATCTTGGAACTTCGATTTGTTTTGGAATGTGTGTCAATAAACTGAAAGGAAAATAGAAACACTTAAGATGTATATATAAACAGTTAATTGTTTTAAACATTAGATTTCTGGAGATTGTTTCAATTTGTTTTAATCATGAATTGATTTTGGTTAGATAATCATAGTAAACAAGGAATCATTGGAAAGATGTTTCCTTCTGTTATAGGACTCCACAGAGTCACCTATATTTATATATATATTATGCTTGTTAAAAACTAAATGAAAACATATACAGTCATAATAATCAGTAAGTTAATGTAAGCTACTGTTGGTAGCCATAATGCTTCGGTCATTTTATGAAAATTTGTTTCTTTATTCTCTATTAGGTTACAACTAATTGAAGTATGTACTAACTTATAGATCATTTGATTTTGTCCGTATTATATATGACTTTGGCCATCAGTCTTTCTTTTTAGTCCGACTGAAGTCAGTTTTGTGTCCTGTGTTCAGTCAATGAGATGCTATGAATGATCTATTCTTCAGTTTTTTAAGGTCTCCTGTTTATTTATTTGAACACTAAAATATTGGTACGAAGGGGCACTGAATACATATGAACCACATAAATCATTAGATTTGTGTATGGCCTGGGATACTGCAAGGGTGCGCAAACTAAAGCAGGTGGTTTTCTTAGGGTACCACACCCAGAGCCTTGGACCTAAAGGTCTAATCCATAAGGCAGTGGAGCAACGTAAGGAGATACAATCTCATGGTAACCGGTGATCAACAATTGGTTCATACACCAATTGGTCCTTCAGGATACTGGAGTCAGCCCATGTGCATCAATGGTTTGGGATCAGGGTTTCCCAACTCCCATAGGTGGATCCTCCATATCCACCAACCCAGTTAAGGCTCCGGTCACTCGCTATTCGTCCTCTCAATTTCGTAAAAAACAGTAATGCCACGAGAAGGCAGTGAGTAGGACTTCCCTGTCAGTGGTTGTATGCATGTGGCCATGTGAGAGCATTTGGAATGATAGAGCTGACTGTTCTCACGCTCGGCCATTCCAGGGTATTCGGGGGCTCGATCTCCTGAAGATTTGATAATAACTTTTAGTTATCTTTCCTATATTTCACTATCTCGATAATTTCCCTTTAAATGTTCACATTCATATTCAGTACACTGAATTTCGTAGACGGTATTTTGTTAAACATCTTTTGACAGAATTATAAACAGTAGTTTCCGACCTAGATTAATATTATTTGGAGTACCATTTAAAACCAGGGAGTGTATGAATGATGTATTTTTTTATAGTATAGAAGTGTTTTTTGCAGTGTAAGGTTACAACTCACGACTATCAAGTATGCAGAGTTCTCTTAACTTTTAAACCACTTAGTTAGAACCCTATGGTCTCCATCATTTCCTGATACAACACAATATTCATTCATTGTCATAAGATTTCATTGAATAACTTACCCAAATTGAACTTTTGGAACAGATGAATTAATTTTATAAAAATTTGGTGAATATTCTACAGAACCATAGCTTTTATCTCCTGGTTTCATTGAATTAAATATACCATTATGTTGGTCTATAATATCCCCTAAGTATTCATTGAAATTTAAAGAAAAAACAAAACAAGTAGCAATACATGTCTGAATGCAATGGGTAATATTCCAAATAGCAATTCAACTTCATTACTCGTTTTCTGACCATTATTCCCAAACTTAATCGGTACTACTTAATGTAATAAGCAACTTAGATCATGTTTAGTAAGGATTTTGTAAATAAATTACATTTTTGTTAATAGTTAACAGTTGAATCTAAGACATACAATTCATCTTAATTAAGCAGCTGTTGGCTAGATGTATATGTATTTACAACGAAACCTGGATTCAGTATTTATCGATTCAAATAAGAGGAAGTTATCCATCAGTTATTTACTCAACAAGTACAAATATCAACAAGGTCTCATCATGTGGCTAGCAGTGGAGCCTAGAATGTGCGTTTCATCCTATTTGAGACTTGTCAACTGGATGTACCTGCATGTGATTCCACTGCTAGCCACTATCCATCTTTGCTTAAAAAGCTTGTGAATTTAGGCAATATCGAGACAGTGCGCACAGGATGCACATATGCCAAGATCAGACTGATCAATTTCAGTCCTAAATAACAATGGGAAAATACAATTAAAAGAACACCAAGTGAATATATATGTATAACCCGATGGTGTTTATGTTCTATGAAATACATATGATTGAAATTCATGGGATGCATTCTGTGAATAAACGCTCGATCCAGACATCTTAATCATCGCAATACTTCATTAACTGGCTGTACTATTGTGACAGAAAACAGTTCATACTAATTGAGCAATTATATTCGCAACAAAAAATAACCTAACTATCTATAAAAAAGATTTTATGAGGGTTCGAAATTGTTAATCATTTTGAGAGATAAAATTCTGCATAATCTAAATATATTCTCTAGAAGAAATATTATATCTAACAAGGTATTTTCTTATAAGGACCCATACAAAACCGTGTATATCAACATAGGCTTGTATCAACAAGAGTGACTTCTACGCGAGCGAGGATCGAAAGGGTAGTGTAATATTGTAATTCAGATGTGAGTGTCACTTGTAATTACAAATTTTAATAAAACAGTATAGTGTGTAAGTCTGGGAATTCAAATTGTCCGCTTATTTTGCATAAATAGTTTAATGTTATTCTTTTACAATGATATTATACGGCCAGTTTTATGTGGGCCACTATTAATTTGTAATTCTTTTGTGTGTTTTTACTGGGTTTCTGAAACAAACTACTTAATAAGCAAAGGTGGATAGTGGCTAGCAGTGGAATCCAGGATGCACGTTACGTTCTATTTGGGACCCGTCAGCTGTGTGTACCTGCATCTCAGGTTTTATGTTTACTCGGGGACTAGAACCCAGTACCATTCGCTTTAAACGCCATCACTTAATCCACTTAGCTACTGAGTCCTGATAGTCACTTGTGTTTGCAATGGGGTGAAGTTTAAATTCACTTGGTGTTGTTTTACTTGAATCTTCACACTGATGTTTAGAATTGTAATTGATCAGTGAATTAAGGCAATATCGAGGCAGTACACAGAGTTTGCGCATATGCTAATAAGAGACTGACGATCAATTGCAGTCCTAAACATCAATGGGACTATTCAAGTAATACAATACCAAGTAAATTTAAACTACTCTATTTTTTAGTCAAATAATGTATTCCAAAATGTAAACTCATAGTATGAAAAGGATTTTAGGAAAATGTGATTTATTTGCGCTATACATTTCAAACAATCTAGTCAAGTGATTTTAATTATATGAAGGTTCAATTAAACAATGCTCACTGCTGAGGAGTCCCACAATAGAACGAAACGGCAGTTGAAATTTAATACTTGTAAATAAACGAGAAATGAAACGCTAATATCGTGTGAAAAGAATAAGAAATTATCACCTTAACAAATATATGTAACCAACCAGATAGTTCGAAATGTATGACACAAATAAGTCACTTTTTTTTCAGATTATTTCCATCTTCGTATCGTTCTTTCGAAATATAATAAAAGAGACTTATTGCTTTAAAGGTTGTTTTTACTTGAGGGAAAAACGTTTAGTGTTACCCATGATAATAAAATAACTTTTATTCAAGTGACATAACACTACTAAAACGCACTCATTAGAAATACAAATATAGATATAAAATCAAAACTTACTTTGCCTTTTATGCGTGAATCCATCATGTAAACTATATTCTGATGTACAATAAACACTACGTTGATGAATTCCATTGAATAAACATTTCTTTCCAGTAGTATATCCATCCGTATAGATTGACCATTCTGGACTCATTCCATGACATTTTAATTCTGTAAATTATAATTTGATTCATAGATTGATTACCTGGATATGTTCTTAAATGACTTGAATGTTCTGGCCAAATATTTTCATCTTTCCTATTTTCATCTTTATATGCTTCAATATAACGCAATTTTGATGACCAATCTAATCCATAACTATAGTTGGTATTATGTATATCATGATTGTTTTAAACAATAATGGATCATACTCTGAATAAATTGGATTTAATGCTAAATTATGTGGCCGCCAATTTAAATCATCTTTTATACAATAACCATGTGGAATAATTCGTTTATATGGGAAAAATTTTATTTCTTCTGTACTACATTTATTTGTATTGAGATAGTGTCGTCTCCCAGGAACTAAATAAATTATCAGTATAGGGTTGTGGAGATTATTAAGTTATTGATTGAGATCATGAATCGATTGATGTTAGACTACTATTGAAAACCTGGAAGCACTGGACAGCTGTTTCGTCCTATTTTGGGACTCCTCAACCGTGCGCATCCACGATCCCGTTTGCGGGATTGGAACCCAGGGCCTCCAGTGTCGCGGATTGGTTGAGGTTAAACATTAACATCGTTGGATGCCAGCCAGCTCAGTGGTCTAGAGGTTAGGCGTTCGCGCGCGAAACTGATAAGTCCTAGGTTTGAATCTCGCGAGGCGGCGGGATCGTGGATGCGCACTGTTAAGGAGTCCCACAATTGGACGAATCGGCCATCCAGTAATTTCAGGTTCTCCATGGCGGTCTAACATCAATTGATTGATGATCTCAATCAAGAACTAAATAAATTACTATTATTATTAAAATGAGATTATTTACATGATGGCATAAATAGAATATGATGGTACTCTAAATTATTAGTTAAATATTTGAAATATTAAAACGACATATAATTTAGGTCATATCCAATAGCAACATAACCAGAAAACTTAACCATTTAAACAAAGAAAAGTAAATAAATGAATAATTTAATACAACCAGATCACTTGAAAAATCTATGTAATGCAGGAATAATAAGATTTGCAGAAGAAATGGAATTCATCAATCTATTTCACGGTTTCTCATCAGCTGTATAAGACCTAAAACTATGGTTAATAACAAATTTTTAACATACTTTAGCTTGTGAAGTTTAGATAAAAGTTCAAAACACAACCGAAATCATAATACTAAGAGGAATAGGGCTACAAACTGTTTATGAATAAACATACTTAAGATCGATATGTATTTATATTTCTTACTTACGCGTTTTACCTCTCATAGAGGAATATAAGTCGCCAATAGCTCTTCTATGGTTACTGTCAGTTCAAAGCCAGAGTGAAGAATGAGTGTTAAAATCGGGTTAGCAGCCCCATCCCGTAGAAGACAACCTTCTTAAAAAAACGCTAACCAGAATGAATATTTTAAACTATTTAAACTCTGACCTCCGAGTTGAAGGATCTTCATTCAGACGAATTATGAGGTCTCATAATAAAATCTGAGATTTCTGGAAGTTACGAGACCGATGCCTCTCCTAACAACCAGAGCGATTGTTAATATAGGTGCATGGAATGTACTTATCAGTGGAAAAGTAATAATACAGAGTAAAACAGTTGTTATATTTACCAGTAATCATTAATCAAGATAAGAGAGGTAATGTAAAGGTAAAGAAATGAATATGTGACTGGTTAATCATTTAATAAAATAAATAAATATGTGGACATTAATAAGATTATGTAAGAGATAATTAACAATACACAAAATAAAAATAAAAAGTTGGGGATAGGGTTGAAAAAACAGAAAATTAAAATGAATAAAGACTGTTAAATAGACATTCAATCACCATGACATGGAAAGCCTAATCACACTTTAGAGGCCAGGTCGCAAACCTTTGATTAAGATTTCCCCTTGCAAAATGGAGTAAGATCAGTGTTTTCTTTTATCTGTTAATTGTTTTGATTCCATTACTTACATCCACTTTATGTTTTCTATCCAAAAGATGTTTGGCAATTTAACTTGTAAAGACTTCACTCTCCTTTTAAATCTTATGTTTCTTCTAATACACTTTTCAGAAAATCTTCACATTCCATTATTCATTTGATACGGTTTGATAAAAGTGGATTATCATCGTTTGAACTGTCTATGATTCTGACGATTTACTGAAAGAGAGATAGACAGAGAAAGAGAGGGAGAGAGAGAGCTATCAAAGTGTTGAATACGAAGGGCGAAACTAATCCAACCAAGTTCTACGGAGTTTTTGTTCAATTATTAGTCACCTTCCAGTAGTATAACTTGTTAACAAAGAGGTTGTTAGGAAATCACAACTCATGGTATTTTATCAAAGTCTAAAATAGATCAATGTAGAAAAATTAATTCTTAAGGGGTTTTTGAACTATAAATTCACTTGGTAATGTTTACTTGAATCTACCTATTGATGTTTAGGTCTGCAATTGATCAGTCTTTTATTGACATATATGCATACTGTGAGTAATGCATTGATATTGTCTTAATTCACAAACAAGTTGTTATCAGGACTCATTAGCTAATTGGATAACACGATGGGGTTTAGAGCGAATAGTACTGGGTTCGAGACCCAGAGTAAACATCAACTCTGAGATTCAGGTACACCCAGCTGACGAATGATCAATATTATACTTTCTTAAGTGAATACTAATTTGAGAGAGCTAAAGAAAGAACAATTATTTGGAGGTTAATTTTGTGGTTAATAATCTTTAATAAAATAGAAGGCTTTTGTGTCGCTTAAAAGCTGTAATATGACAGTTTATGACTTAAATAAAAATGCGTTGCATAATTTTACAAAATTATCAACATTAAAATGGGATTGTATCATAAACTGATCATGAAGACGTTAGTATCCTAGGTAGTTTGTATATGATTAATTAGATATTACCAAAAACTCTTAGCACGAATTGATTGTTAAGATGGATGACCTTACTTACTAAATTAATTAAGCCTGTTACCCGTTGTGGAGGAGCACAAGCCGCTCACTAGAATTCTCCATCCAACTCTGTCCTGGACAATACTTTTCAGTTGTTTCCAGTTACTATTCATTCTTTCCATGTCTACTTCCCATTCCCGACACAGTGTGTTCTCTGGCCTTCCTCTCTCCATTTCCCTCCACAACTCCAAGTTAGCGCTTGCCTCGTGATGCAGTCTGATGATTTCCGTAATGTATGTCCCATCCAAATCCAAAGTCTTTTCCTCATTTCCTCTTCAGCCAGAAGTTGGTTTTATTCTCACCCACAGTAGGCTGTACCTAATAGTATCCGATCGATGGACATTGAGTATCTTCTGTGGACTATTGTTTATAAATACTTGTACCAATTTGATGATGGTTGTGGTAGTTCTCCAAGTTGAACTGTCATGAATTTCGTGCTGAAGATTGTCACTTTGATATTGATTGACAGTTGTTTTGAGTTCCACATGTTCTTCGATAGTGGGAATGTTGCGCTTGCTTCGCCAATCATCACCTTCATGTCTGCATCAGATCATCCACGTTCATCGATGATGCTTCTCAGATATGTGAAATATTCCACATTATTCAGAGTTTCGCCATCAAGTGTGATTGCATTGGTGTTTTCCGTTTTGTATTTGAGGATCTTGCTTTTTCTTTTGTGTATGTTGAGACCTAGTGCTGCCGAAGTTGGTATTGCATTAACTGTCTTCATCTACATTTGTTGGTGTGTATGGATTCGAATGGTCATGTCATCTGCGAAGTCCAAATCTTCTTAATGATTCCGAGTTGTCCATTGTATTCTGTGGTTACCTCTCAGATGTCAAGGTTTTCATAATCCAGTCGATCATAAAGAGAGAGAGAAATGGGGAGAGTAATCAGCCTTGTCTGACTCCGGTCCTCACTTGTAATGCGTCTATCATCTGTCCTTCATGGCCCACTTCGCACTGTAGTTCGTCGTATGAATTCCGGATGATGTTGACAAAAGCAAATTAATTCTGGTATTGAGCGTTATCTCTACTAGTAAATAATAATAAGTTGTCATATAAATCTGTTATTGTGCTTGGTAACAATGTGATTCAAGTTCTTAAGCATATGACACATTGTTCCTTAACACGTTTGTATTTGACTCAAAGAACGTAGAAATTAGGCAAACATTTCGTCAAATATTCAATAACATTACTCTTTACTGCAGAATATATATATGGTTTAACTTATTCGTAATTTATATGATAAGTGTAATATGTATTTCATCTAAATAAAGAAACCTGAAATGTTAACAAACATTTACAACGATTAGTGATTCGAACAAGTTTTAACTAGCCTGCACTTATTTGCATGTGCAAACATGAGCTGTTTCAATAGTCCAATGTATTATCATTAGTGTGAAACATATTTTAATACTTACTTACTTACGTTTGTTACTACCAATAGAGAATAGGCCGCCCACCAGCATTCTCCAGCCCACTCTGTCCTGGGCCTTCCTTTCTACTTCCATCCAATTGTTGTGCATTCTTCTCATGTCTGTCTCCATTTCTCGGCGTAATGTGTTCTTTGGCCTTGACGATTCCGAGTGAGGGCTTGCCTTGTGACGTAGTTGGGTACTTTCCTTAGTGTGTGCCCTATCCACTTGCAGTGCTTCTTCTTGATTTCTTCTTCCACTGGAATCTGGTTTGTTCTCCTCCACAGTAGATTGTTGCTGATAATGTCTGGCCAACGGATTGGAAGTATTTTGCGTAGACAACTATTATTGAACACTTGTATCATCTGGATGATGGCATTCGTAGTTCTCCAAGTTTCCGTCCAATACAGCAGAACAGTCTTCACATTCGTATTGAAACTTCTGACTTTGGTGTTGGTTGACAGACAGTTGTTTTGAGTTCGAGGGTTCTTCAGTTGTAGATATGCTGCTCTTGCTTTGCCGATTCGCGCCTTCACATCTGCATCGGTTCTACTGTGTTCCTCAATGATTATTATTATTTTTCTATTATTTCGGATCGGGGTATTAGTAGGAAACGGAGTATAGGAATTCAGTAAGATGGTGTGTGTGAGATATCTAAATCATTTCACATAATATAATCTTTATAAATGATATTGGAAAAAGTAAACTCATAGTTCATTATCCTTTGGTGTAATATAAGTATGATATCTAGACATCATTTGATCTAGAAGGATTATTAACAAATGATGATCGATTTTAATGACCTACGTCACACTTCCATTCATTATAAATTGATATTAACAATTACAAAACTTAATTTAGGAGAAAGTATGAAAGTAGTTAACGTAACTGTAAGCTAAGATGGATAGTGGCTAGCAGTGGAATACAGTTTGACACGCATCTCGTCCTACTTGGGATTCGTCACTTGGATGTACCTGCATTTCAGAGTTGATGTTCGCTCTAGGACTCCAACCCAGTACCATTCGCTTCAAACACCATTGCGTTATGTACTTAGCTACTGAGTCTTGATAGTCACTTGCTTGTGCAATGGGATGAAGTTTAAATTCACTTGGTGTTGTTTCACTTGAATCTTCCTATTGTTATTTAGGACTGCAATTGATAAGTCTCTTGTTGGCATACGTGCATCCTGTGAGGATTGCCTCGATATAGCCTTTAGTTATGAGCTTTTAACGCGCGTCCTGGATTCCACTGCTAGCCGCTATCCATCTTTGCTTAAAAAGCTTGTGACTTAAAGCTGGATCGAGGCAATCCGCACAGAATGCACATATGCCAACAGGAAACTGATCAACTGCAGTCCTAAATAACAATGAGAAGAGTCAAGTAAATCAACATTAAGTGAAGTTAATGTAATTATTTACAACATACCCTTGGATGATAGCAATACTAACTATGTACTAATCACACTCTTTTTGAAAATACGTGAAGTTACGTAAAATATGAAATTACTATTATTGATTTCTTAAATGTGTGTTAATAAACAAACATTACAGCACCGAACAAAGTTACAAGAATTCATTAAAATCCTTTTGTGGATGACTTATAAAAGAGCATTTGTCTGTCACTTAATTTCAAGGTCACTTATAGTCCTCATTTAGGATATTTCGTGTCCCGACGACCATGTTTTACGATGAATTGTTCTTTTTAATAAGTCTGAGAACAATCGTATTTCATGTCAATAGATGGACCTCCATAATTGTTTCGTCTCCTTGAAGTCGACGTTGTTTTGCTTCCAGAAATGAGGAGTCTGTCGAAATGCAATTGGCCATTTGTACTTCTTTAGTAATCAGTTGGCTGACAAATAGATATGATAGAGGTTGGTATATGGCTATCAAATTCACACCGGACACCACAATTTCGCATAGAAATAGATTTTCGTTGTTTGTTTTGTATATCCCATCAAAATTACTGTAGATTATCCATCTGATCCTTCTAAGAATCACCATGAGATATAATAGAACTTTGCAACTGGCTATAATCTCCTACATTTCATCAGTATAAATACTTACATTACTAATCAGGTAAATAGGTCTGTGAAAACACCTTGAATTCCGCCGCTTGCGCTAAGACTGATACATAAAGCTGAAATCTCTGAAATAAGCTGATATCGGGCAGTTTCAGATTCGATGTCAGTAGGCTTCTCCATTTGTGGGTTGTTGTCGTACCTTTTGACATTACATATATGTCTGAGTGCTTATAGTGACCCTTTAGGAAGCAATATTACGAAACCGATCAACTTATGCCCATCAAATAGGATTGACAGTTCGCATAGCCAGTGCTGGATGAATTATTTACGTTCAGAGTTTGGAGTGAACGTAATAACCGAAAGACATCTCTTTTTCTATCTCTTCAAAAAATAATAACCAACAATTTATTTTAATAGTCGAGATCATGAGTCGATTGAAGCTAGATCACCATGAAAACCCTGGAAGCCCTGGATGGCCGTTTCTTCCTATTGTGGGACTCTTCAGAACTGCGTATCCACGATCCCGATTCGCCAGATCCGAACCAAGGACCTATTGGTCTCGCGCGCGAACGTTTAACCTCTAGACCATTGAGCCGGCCGGCATCCGACGATGTTAGTATCTAACTTCAACTAATCCACGAAATTGAGCCACTCATCCACAATTGTCATCGGTGAGTTACTATCTCACAACAGACCTGGTTGAAATCCACTGGTCACTGATACGAATAAAGAAAGAACAACATTCATTATGTTTTGAAACTTTTACAAAAACTGAATATCCAATGAATTAATTTTGTATGTTTTAATGAAAGGATGAATAAGGTTATTCAATTTATGATTTGTTTCTCCATGAACATTTCCTGGTAGATGTCTATCGTTTATATAAAAACCCTTGTAAATTTTAATTTAAAGTTCACCTTTTAGTGATTTTCTCAGAAAGCGACTGTTTTATACAAACTATTTCTTATTTTCAGATCTGCTGAAACCGAATTCGAAGTTCATGAACTGAAGGATTATAGACTGTGAAAAATGTTTTAAATAAAAGTTTTTTTAAAGACTGTTCAATCTGAAGTCAGATCTGATAACAACTGGAGGCTATTTAAAAAGAAATTGTTTGGGATGTTAGATCCTTAGAACTCACTTGGTAAATGCTTTATTTTTGTAATTCTATTTTAAATATTTAAATTTCTTGTTTTCGCGCTAAAAGCGCTCATTTTCACCTTCATGTCGTATATCCCACTTGGGAAGATTTTAAACGCTATTGGTTCGTTGTATCTTTTAGTATGCTATTTAGTACCGTTTCCCAAGGACATTCTTATGCTGTATATATACGCTTGATTTATGCTTATTGTAGTTGTTCATGTTTCTGACTACTTGTGAAATATATTTCCCTCTCCCGAACTTGGAATTCTCTCTCTAGTTAGCTGGGCTGGGACGCATCGGAATAGCTAGTTTATCTGTCATTTTATCACAGAGTCTTCGTTCCGTTCTGAGATTAGGTAAACTCATAGCATAGCAAATGACACCAAATACAGCTATTTCTTCCATGTTTCATAATTTCAAGTTGATTTGTCCGCTTATCTGTGCGAAGAGAGGTTGTATGAACACAAAACTCAACTTGAAGGAAATTGTTGTCCAGTCCTTCAAACACTGATAAAGGTATTCAGCTATTGTTAGTCTATGATCGGTTATAGTGAATTCAGATAGAGCGATATAACGGAAATTTTCTTTTTTTGTCTTATGTATGTAATTTGACTAGAGATTAACTACTATTATATCATCATAAATTGAATATACAGTATGATTACGGATATAACACTGTACAAGTGACATTTGCCAATCAAGGTATCGCAAATATCTAGTCGATTAATCACGTTACTCAACATAATAAATAATTGATTTTATTATTGTTCGAGTCCCGGAGTGAACATCAACTTTGAGGTGCAGGTACATCCAGCTGACGAGTCCCAAATAGGATGAAACGCACGTCCTGAATTCCACTGCTGGCCACTATCCATCTTTGCTTATAATTAATGATAATAATTTTCCAGCTGATAATGTGAAATAATGGAGTAACTTTTACCCCAACAGACACTCATAAACGTTACCCAGTCTTATTAAGATGACATTTTCGTATCGATTTCCAAATGATTTTACAATTTTACAAGTAATCTATGGTATTAGCTCATTTAATCCTACTGTACTACTGTGGTATGAGCTACTTATATCTACGTAAGTAGTATATAACGATAGTCCGGTATAGAATGTGTTTCAACAGAAGATCGACAGGGGAAGAACGGAAACGGAAGGCAAATGCAGGAACAATGAAATGTGAGACGATGGACTGATATTTGCAAACGGAACAGTCAAGTTGGAGACAATGGACTGATATTTTGCAAATTAACTATTTACGGTATGGTTTTCAGATTTTAGTAAGATGTTCTGTAATTTTGTGTTCAAATACATTCGATTGCCGCTATTTGTGTTCTTGTTCACTACACTACTACTATGTACACTGAATACTAGTTATTGTAACCCAAGTAAATTATAAATTTATAACATTAGGGCAAGGAAATCAAGCTGTTGTTAATATGAGCTTTTATTTGGTTGATTTATTCTAAAATAAGTGATGAAAAGAAAATATTCATTACTAAGCTGATGTATATACGTATGTTTACAATCATTCTACATTATATCTTATGATTAAGTGATCAAAAAGACTTTGCACAGATTGATTTAATTCGGAAGTGATAATCATTACAAAGGGACTTTATTTAGGTACTATTAAAAACTATGAAGAACTTAGAAATTATTCAGTTCTAGTAGGAGAACTATCTAGCATTTCTCACCCAATGATCTTGCTAGAAATTGGATCCAAGACTTTTAAGTATCGAGTAAAGAGGTTTACCGCTAGACAAAGTATTTCACATTTAGTTGTACACATTTTTTTCAAACTCAACCTATTTGTAATATGACACATAAACATTTATTGATTGCACTTTTAAAATATCTAAACTTCATTGGTCAAAAGCCGTTACTTACTTACTCCTGTTACTCCTCGTGAAGGAGCATAGGCCACTCAAAAGCCGTTACCAGCAGTAAAATATATCACTCTCAAACTATTATCATAGTCAGTAACACATGTGCATCTGAGCCTTAGAATAATAATGGAGATGTTTGGTTAAATCACTGCTAAATCATCATACATAAAAGTTGAATATAATTACCAGTGAAAGTGAATAAAGAGATCTTTTATTGGATAAACATTGAATTTAAAAAATAAAATAAAATAAAAGTAAATTAGAATACTACTTTCAAATAATATAAATTAAAAATGACTACATTTTACGAAACTACTTATTTAGAAATAAGTAGACAAATTGTTTATCAGTTTATACCCATATAGTTTAAGATGTAATCATATAATGAATAAACCATAAAAATGAAATAATGAATGAAAAATTTAAAAATTGTGCTAAAAATCGATATTTTAATAATCTATTCCTTAAATCTATTCGTTTATTCAAATGAGGAAATGGAATATTTTCAGGAATAGGAATATTTAAAAATTCACATAAAGGTTTCCATCCATCATTAGGATCAAAAATTAATAAACGATCTTTTGGAACATAATTGATAATCTCTTGATTCCATTTAATAAAAGCATTTTTCAATTCATCATCTGTCATTTGATCATAATTTGAACCAAATGCTTTAGTGTACATTTTATCATGTAATATTGGTAAACTTTTCAATCCACGTAAACGATAAATAATATTTTCAGTAAATGTGATATGTTTAGTCATAACCATATCAGAAGCAGTTGTTGCTCGACAACTTGAAATCCATGAATCAGCATCACGAATTGTTAAAATAACCTACAAAAAAGTCAGAGAAAAAATAATTCTTTCAGTATATAGGATATTTTTGTAAGTAATGATGGATAGTGGCTAGCAGTGGAATCCAGTTTGACGCGCGTCTCGTCCTATTTGGGACTCGTCAGTTGGATGTACCTGCATCTGAGAGAGTTGATGTTCACTGTGTGACTCGAACCCAGTACCATTCGCTTGAAACGCCATCGCGTGATCCACTCAGCTACTGAGTTCTCATAGCCACTTGCTTGTGCAATGGGGTGAATTCGAATTCACTTGATATTGTCTTTTACTTGTATCTTCCATTGAGGTTTAACACTGCAATTGATCAGTCTGTTATTGGCATATGTGCATACTGTGCGTATGCCTCGATATTGCCTGAATTCACAAGCTATTTGTAAGCAATGATGGATAGTGGCTAGCAGTGGAATCCAGTTTGACGCGCGTTTCGTCCTATTTGGGACTCGTCAGTTGGATGTACCTGCATCTGAGAGAGTTAATGTTCACTCTGCGACGCGCGTTTTGATTCCATGTCTAGCCACTATTCATTATTGCTTATAAAGCTTATGATGAATTGAGACAATATCGAGGCAATACTCACAGTGTACATATATGCCAATAACAGACTGATCAATTGCAGTTTTAAACCTCAATGGGAAGATACAAGCCAAACAATACCAAGTGAATAAATTTTAGTTATATTAAATCATTATAATAAACTTCTCTTGTTATTCGTTAAGGTCAAATAATCAATATATCAGCTGATAAATTTTGTTTACTATTAAAAGTATTTAACAAATAGAATAGTTTAAGTAATTTAATTAATATGAGCTGAATTTTTCATTTATGAACAGTTATAATAATGTACTTGATTTAATATAGAAGAATTTCAATTCTTACAATAAATATTAAACATTTAGACAGATTATTGGAACGTATTTATGCACCTTTTATGGTTGAATCCATCAGTTAATTAAAGCTAGACCATCTTGGAAAACCTGAAAGCATTGCATGGCCGTTTCATCCCAGTGTGGGACTCCTCAGCGCATCCATGATCCCGCACCGCGAGATTCCAAACCACGACCTATCGATCTCGCTCGCGAACGCTTAACTTCTATATCACCGAGCTGAATGGCATCCAACAATGTTAATGTCTAATTTCAACTAATCCACAAAATCGAGCAACACATTCATCATTGTCATCAGTGAGTTAATATCTCACAACAGACCCAGTTGAACTTCACTAGTCACTGTTTCTCACTAGAACTCCAGGAAGTATCTCTTGAAGCTAGTCACTAGTGAGCATATGTTGATTCATATCAGAATTGTCTTGTTTTTTTGTGTGAATATTATAGTAACTTCAATGGTTGTGATCATGAGTCAATTAAAAAAAAATTAAAGTTCATTTACCTTGGCATTTGGATAAATATTCATTAATTCTTTATAAAATACACATGTTGGATAATCCACAGCAAATTTACACTCATTGAATATATCATTCCAATTAACTTTTTCAATATTAACACATTTCTGATGCATATTAAATATATTAATCCATTTTTTAATATGTGATTCTTGATATTTATAAATTACATCATACATATGATAACATGGTTGATTAAATAATAATTGAAGTGCAAATTTTAAACTAGTTGTACCAGTTCTCATTTGACCAGCACCAATAATAAGCAATTCGTTTGATATAGATAATGATGAGGATGATGATGATGTTGATGATGTTAACAAGGTGAATGATTGCAATATTAAAGTTCTTAATGTTTTTATTAGTAATGATGATAATCTGTTGAACATTGAGGTAAAACAGTATTTTTTCAGCAGACTACGTACGGTATTCACTTGAATTCCAAAAAAAAAAAGAAAAATGATAAAACAACAGTTACATTAGAAAAACAAAACCTTATTGAAAAAGTAAGACAGTGTTTTACTAATTATAGTACTCAGTTTTAGAGAACTGAATACTGACTTATCGGTCTAAATTTAAGAAACTCATCAAGAGATCTGAAGATACCACTAGACCAATGAGCCGGCAACCAACGAATTAAACGCTCGCGCGCGAGACTGATAGGTTATAGGTTCGAATCTCGCGGGGAGTGGGATCGTGGATGCTCACTGCCGAAGAGTCATTTATCCGGACGAAACAGCCGTCCAGTGTTTATAGGTTTTCCATGGTGGTCTGGCTTCATTTGACTCAGGCTCTCAACCATTGAAATGAAAAGTATAAGTTCGACCCCATTTGTTTACAGACTATAAAGAAGGTACTTCGAACTAGGATGAACTGACTATACAATTTCACTTATTATTCAATGATCTGTTTTTTAGCTAATATGACTTAGTAATGAAGAAAATTTCTTATATATATAAATAAATATTCATGATTATTTTAATATACAGTTAGTATTTAAACAGTTTTTTTTTCTTTCTCAATACCTTCCTCTTATGATCTGTATTAATTTGTAATATTGAAACATTGAACAATTTTTGCGCTACATTTCATCTGACATAAATTGTTTTTATTTTACAACAGATGATTAGTAAATTATGTTCAATTCAAGGAATTTTAAAAAAAATGAAATAATTGCATAAGCAGGTGGCTATTAGAATATATTAGACAAGTGAATAACGTGATGGCGTTTGAAGTGAACGGTACTAGGTTTGAATCCCGGAATGAATATCAACTCTAAGATGCAGACATAATCAACTGACGAGTCACAAACAGGATTTTACTTCTATACATTATCTATCATTGTATATAATACTTGTGATTTAAGTCAATATCGAAGCAATTCGCACTGGAGGCACATATGTCAATAAGAGTGAGACTGATGATTAGTTACAGTCTTAAACATCAATTGAAAAACCGATTCAAATACACAACAATATTAAATGAATTGAACAATTAACTCTATTCAATTACATAATAAATTAAATGGAAAACAACAACAACAACGACACTATCACCGTTGGATGCCGGCTCAGTGGTCCAGTAGGTTAAGCGTTCGCGCGTAAGACCGAAGGCCCTGGGTTCGAATCCCACGCGCGGGATCGTGGATGCGCACTACTGAGAAGTCCCATAATAGGACGAAACGGCCGTCCAGTGCTTCCAGGTTTCCAGAAGTGGTCTAACATCAATCGGTTCATGATCTCAATCGAAAACAACAACAAAAAAAAACTTTTTTACCTTTTTTTTTCTTGTTTAACCAACGTTGATTAGAACATATCAAATTGATTAAATTCACCAATTGATTTTCAATAATTTCTTCATCTGTTTGAACTTCTTTTTCATTCAATAATGGTTGGAATAGATTCATTGCAAAGATGAAAAAAAAACAGAAAAGAAAAACCAAAAAAAAATAAATCTTTTTTTTAATAAGAATGATTCAATGTTTTATAAATTTTTCTTTTTTCTTTTCTTTTTTTTTACAAAGAAATGAAAAGGAAACTGAAAATTGAATGTATAATCAAGTTTGATTCAAACAAAATTTTCTATAATATATTAATATGAATAATAATGAATGAATGAATGAATGGATGGATGGATGGATGGATGGATGGATGGATGGATGGATGGATGGATGGATGAAATAGAATGATAATTTATATGATAATTAATATACTACTAATTAAGTCTACTGATTATAAACGATTTTATAAAGTTATTCATTTCTATCTTGATCTTATATTTATATACTAATTTGAGGTATTCGAATAGGAATTTCCTTTTCATTAGCATAATTCTACAATGAATCATACATAGTGTGACTACTTTTTTTTGGTTGGTATGTTTCATTTTTGTTATTCTAATTCTCAAATCTGATTGATTGATCAAATTAAAATGAAGTTAATTAAAAAGTGGGAATCAACAAATCATACTGTAAGAATATATTTTTTTGTTTTGTTCTTGTTGTTGTTGTGGTGGTGGTGGAAGATAATAAGTAGTACATAAGTTTTTCTTTTAAATGTTTATAAGTAACTGAATCATTTGAGGATAAACCATATGTATTACACATATTAAATGAGAATGAAAAAAATTACAACAATACTGTAAGTAAAACCATGTATTTCACAATGTGTATATTTAGCACTATAATTAAACAATAAGTGCTTGAATACTTGGGTTATCTGTTTCTGACATTAACATATTTCAATAGGTTACCAGTCCTTTGTTTGTCTTAACACATCATTATTGGCCCTTATTCACATAATTTATTTAAGCGCGTTTATGAAAAGTTCTGGATTCATTGGCCGTTCAACATATAAAGAAATTATAATCAAAGACATTGGATTGAATGTTAATATACAATGAAAAGAATGATCATTATTCAGATTTCAATTTGTGAGCTGCTAACATCATCTAACTAATGATAAGTCAATATGTTATCGTCAGGATAGATGAAGAAATAAGGAAAGGGAACTTGTTAAAATATTTTGTGTTTAGAATTCTATATTGTATCAAAAAATATGTATGATATTGAATAGTCATTAATAAGAATAATAATGGATAATATTCATTCTTCAAAGGTTGCATCAATATGAATGTTTATTTGAACTGGAGCTAATTAAGATTCGAATTTTGTATTTATTGTTTCAAACAACAACTTTTGTTATTGATTAAGCTATTGAATTCAAATGGATACTAACTTTTTCAATATACATAAAGACTTTTAGTGATAGATAGGCATAGTTACAAACCTGAATAATGATTATATGCTTTCAATGGTTAAGATCATGAGTCAGTTGAAGCTAGATCACCATGGAAAACCTGAAAGCAGTGGACGGCCGTTTCGTCCTGTTGTGGGACCCCTCAGTAGTGCGCATCCACGACCTCTCCCCCTGTGAGACTCAAACCCAGGACCTACTGGTTTCGCGCGCGAGCACTTAAACATTAGACCATTGAGCCACCGGCATCCAACAGTGTTAATATCTAACTTCAACTAATCCACGAAATTGAGCGACACATTCACCATTGTCTTCAGCGAGTTACTATCTCACAACAGACCTGGTTGTACTCCACTGGTCACTACTTCTCACTAGAATTAGTGGATGCGCACTGCTGAAGAGTCCCAAAGTAGGACGAGACGGCCGTTCAGTGCTTCCAGGTTTTCCATGGTGGTCTAGCTTCAACTGACTTATGATCTTAACCATTGAAATTACTACAATCTCCACAAAAAAGCCCATCTAATTATATGCTTTTTTATTTCATAATGATTACTTCATTTATTTAATTGTTTAATTTATGAGTTCGAATAATTATTATTAAAATCATTGAACAGCTATTATAAGAAAAAAAGATGCAAGCTTACTAAAAGTGGAATCTATGACTCAAGTTTCATCATATTTGGTAACTCGTTAACTGGATCTACCTGAATTTCACAATTGATCTTGACTCTGTTAGTCGAACCCAGTATCTTTTTCATTGTGAAATAACAACAGTTGGTGACGAATTCCTTGAGGATTGTATATGTATCATCCAGGAGTCAGAAATGGTATTGATTATTAGATAAGGGAAACTAGAATGGTTAATCTAGCTTCATTTGATTTGTATTAAATACTAATTTATACTTTTCTCTTAGTATATATACGCAGTATTATCTTAGTTTTTTTAAAGTTGTCTTACTAATGATAAGTAATGTGTTTATAATAATAATAATAACAATAAATTGCTTTATAAGCAAAGATGGATAGTGGCTAGCAGTGGAATGCAGTTTGACGCGCGTTTCGTCCTGTTTGGGACTCGTCAACTGGATGTACCTGCGTCTCAGAGTTGATGTGAAATAAATTGCTTTGTTCAATATAACATGTTTGATTATATGATGATAGTAATGTACTACTATTTAAGTCTACTGATTATAAACTGTTTTGTTCTTAAGATAATATAAAATGTTACAATAAATTCTAGTTTATTATCTATTTTAGTAAGTCATATCCAAAATAAATATGAAAATGTTTTTAATCAGTTGTGTCATTATTCAACTTCCTCGTGGAACATCACAATATACAATGAGGAAATGGTATCAATCACTTCAATGAATCAATATGAATTGAATCATAATTTTCTTCATGATAAGTTTGAAATTCTTTTAAAAAAAGTATTCAGCGGTAAATAAATTTTCAAAATCAATAGCTTTGTAAGTCTTTGATATTTGATACTGATTATATTAGTTTTAATGTACTCGTTTAGCAGAAGACGTTCAGTTATGTATCTGCATCAGATAACGAGTGAGAACGCTGTGTTCAACTTTTCCTACAACCGCTGGCCAGTTTAGATCAGTCACTACTCAATTTATTGATAACCTATTAAATATATCTTCAAACTTCCTCACTTCTGACTATTGATTTCACTAGGTGGACACAGTTCAATTATAAAAGGTGATACTGGTTAAAGTGTTGTCAAGATTCAAACTTCTACATAATATCAAAATAACGTTGAAGTTGTATGCGCATATTCTCTTTATAAGGATCAAATGATGTAACAAAACGGTGAACTACTCAGCGATTGACTTTGCTTATCTTGTAATCAAAGAGACTTTCTCTAGACAACTTAGTTTTTTTCAAGAATATTGTAATCTATTGTATTTATTTATTTAAACACATAAACATTTGTACAACAAGGTACCAAATAGATATGCGCCACATAAATCACTCGATTGGTGTAGGGGCTGGGATACTGCACTGATGCCCAGACCGAAGCAGGTGGTTTTCTTAGGGGGCCACACCCGGAGCCCTCGACCTAAAGGTCTAATCCACAAGGCAGTGGAGCAACTTCAAAAGATGCAGTCTCATGGTAGCCGGTGACCAACAAATAGTTCATACACTATTTGTACTTTCAGGATCCTGGAGCTAGCCCATGTGCACCATTGGTTTGGAATGAGGGTTTTCCAATTCTACTAAGTGGATCCTCCATATAGTACCGGACATTTCCCTTTAATCCTCTCAATTTTGTAAACAACACCTCGTCACAAGAAGGTAGTGAGTAGGACTTCCCTGGCAGAGTTACAGTTTTAGGTATATACTACCTTCAAGATGTCAGCATTATTTTTAGGAAACTAATTTTATAAAATGAAGTATAATTTCAGTGTACAGAACATTCTTTGATTATCCTTCTTTCAAAAGATTCATCTTTATTAAGTTTAGTTAATTAATTTTCTTGGGATTTATGGGAAATAAAAATCTTACATGTGAAAAGTGTATGATAAACTTGTGATTTAAAACGAATATTAATCTATTTTAAAGCAGTTTAATAGATTTAAAGTAATCTTATTTGATATATATATAGTTATGATTGATGCATAAGTCAATTATTGAGCAATTACTTCATACTTTGTTTAAAACATTCTTCTTTAATTCAATGTTTTGATTGGTTAATATTTTCAGCCAATCATATCTATTCTTGCGAAAATATGAGTCATAAAATTGAATTACAGACAAGCAGCTGATCCATCAATTCATAAACAATTAATAATTAATTAACTAATAATGACGTTTGAGATTATAGTTTTGTACAGAGTAGTTCTATTTAATGAACAAATAGCTTATCAGTTAGGTATAAGTAAGAAATAATTCCATAGTACTAGATTTGCTAGAAAAAAAAAGGTTAGGGTTAAGGTTACTGCCGGTCCCAAGCCCCGATAAAGAATGAGGGTTGGGTGTGGGGTTAACAACCGTATCCCATAAAAAAATAACTCGCTAAAAAAATACGCTTACCAGATAAAAACGTTTTCTATGATAAAGAGTTAGTTGAATGAGATAAATTCATTGTATTTCTTATAAATTTCAATGTCAAAGTAATAACAAATACGGTGTTGTCTAATTGTTTAGATTTAAATATATTCAGTCATTTAGTTCAATATTACTTAATATGAGACTAGGTAACTCGAGTTTGGGAACCCATTCCAGTTTTAGCTTTTCTTACGATTGTAATGAATATGTTTTATTGATATTAATTCATTATAAAAGTATAAATCTGATTATAACGTTGATTACATTTTGTTTTTTTTCCTTCTCATTGATCTAGATATATTTTGGGTATCCGAAGAGTTTAGGAACTCATCATTATAATCAATAACTCACTGATTACATTTATAAAGATATCAACAAAAGATGGATAGTGGTTAACAGTGGAATCCAGTTTGATGCGCGTTTCGTCTTATTTGGGACTAGTCAGCTGGATGTACTTGCATCTCAGAGTTGATGTTCACTCTGGGACTCTAACCCAGTACTGTTCGCTTCAAACGCTATCGCGTTTGAATATTAACAGAAGTTTTAAATATTTTTTTATAAGAAAAAGGTGATTTCATTATTTCAATATTTA